TCATTGGCAACTTTAAAAGAGACATCACGTCAATTCAACGGACGGAAATAAGCTTGCTGGGACTGTACCACTGCTCACTCTTGTATTCCGCAGGCCTAATCATACTTGATCTTTTTCCAATCATTACTTCGTTTGTCTCGTCAAAATTTACCTCCGCTTTTCGTACAATCCGGTGACCCCTAGACCGCTTCTTCGGACTCCGTCTGCATCATGCGACTCACGAGAGATGTATACTCGTAGCCGTATCCCGCGTTTGTGCCCTTGGCTTACTAGCCTCGAACAAGAGCATCGTCCCACAAACTTCCCACCTAACATCCTCAAAGACCTCCATCAACGGCCCCACAAAGCCCTCCACGTCGTCCTCGGTATTCCCAAATACACCCAGTAAGTTGTGCCAAAACATGAGATGCTTCCCCATCAGGTTGTGCCTCACGCCCCGTCCCAAGATCGTCATCCCGAATATCGTGCCGCCCGGCGCCAGCAGATGCCGCAAGCGCATCAAAGCCTCGGCCTTATTCGACGGCGGACCAGGCACGCAATGCAGCAGCATCATGACGGAAATCGCGTCAAAGTCTCCCCCGCCAAGGTCCTTGCAACATAGGCCCTTTCCTAGGGGGTCTAGAAAGTCGGCGACAGAGGTCTCGCAGGTCGTCTCGGGATGCGCGTCTAGCGTTCGTTCTCTAGCTGCTTCCAGGGCCGCGGGGTTGAGGTCGGCGAGGTAGACCTCGGATCCGGCTGATATGGGTGCATGCTTGAGAAAGTATCCCGTGCCGACGCCGATGTCCAGTATCCGACAGGGTGAGAAGGCGTTGATATCTGATGTTCTGCGGAGGCTGGGCGACTGTGAACGGGCCGAGGCGCTGGAGACGTGCCTGTTGAAGAACTCCCGCATGCGTCTTGATGTGATACGCCATGCTTTCGGGCAGTAGAAGCCGAGGACGACCGGGTCGTAGATGTAGCGAAGGAGCATGGGCATGTAGATTGCGGCACCGGCCGCCGTGTTCGGCTTTGCTGTTGCTGCCATGCTTGCAAACTGTTCAATATCTGAGGATTGAAGAGAGCATGGTGAGTCCGGTTGTGTTATTGTGTTGGCGATCATCGTGGTCTAATATCTCCTGCGCCTTTCCTTGTGTGTGTGAGACAGGCCAAGGCTCTAGTTCAAGAATGGAAATTGGCGACCCTTTTTGTGTTGAGGGCTGAAAAGAATTAGCTGCGTGGTGCTAGTCGACTTTCGTGCCTTTCGTACGTATGGGGGAAGGAAGCGGCATTATGCGGACTTCTGATTCAGTGGTTCGACTCGTCCCAAATTCCCGGGTCACCCTTGGATCATTATATCCGCCCTCGAACTCGTCAGCATGGTGACCACATGCTCTGACATATCTGACATGCATGCTTGCGGGGTGATGTGACAGGTTGTGTGGCGACGACTCATATTCAACCCAAGACGAGAAAAAGGGACAGTCGTATCTCCTGGCGCGTCTATTCACTCCATTCGCCGGCAACTGCCCCAGTTGCGGTTGATGTCGCGAGACCAACAGACCAACCGCGGTCGGGGCGTCTCCGCGATAGCCAAGAATCAATACCCCCGAGCTGCGACGGGTGCGTCATCCGTGCTCCGGGGCCATCCGCGATGCCACAAGCTTCGCATCGGACCGCCGAGGGTTCTCGGAACCCTATGCGATTCGTCAGTTTCGAGGCGCGGGGAGCTGCGATGAGGGAGGTTCGCAAGGGCCGAGAGATGGGATGACTTTTCGACTCGTGCCGAAACACACCGTGTATGGCTCCAGCGCTCTATCTCCGTCTGAGCATGGACTTCGGCCGTTCCATTTTCTTCCCTCCCCGGGTTGTCAGCTTGGATCAGAAGCATCTTCGGACCACGCCCCGATGACATGCAGCAGGCCTAATGGCAGGTCAGTGTTCTGTTCTTTTTCAGCGTTCGGGGAGAATTTCTCTCTTGTCAGATCGGTTGAGCCGCGAGTGTAAAGGCTTGGCTTTGTGAACTAGGCCAACTATGGACTGAGAACCGAAAGACCACGAGTTCGAGCACCTTAACTATATTTACTGAGGCTGTTCGTGATCTGTTCTTGACCTGGGAGCCAATCGGATTGACAGCAGAGAATGCGAGAGAATAAAGGACTCGTAGGTTTCCACGATCACATGAGATCGTCATAGCTCGGACGACTACATGTAGTCAACGCGCAGATCGACCCTGCGATAGCCGCGTGGCCAACGGCGCATTGGGAGCGGCAATGAATATGACGCAGATTGAGATACGGCCAGAACGGAACTCGCAGCTATCATTGCCGGGGGGCTCGAATTCAGTCTCGCCTTCGATAAGGTACGTCGCGGTGAGAACATACAGGAAACAATGGGAGTCGCTATTAGTATCTAATTCCACCGGTTCCGGAAAAGATTGATGCTTTTACTCATTTTCTCCGTGCCTTGAAAGTCTTCAGAGGATTGACTTTTCTCGTTCCCACCTTCTTGCCTTTGCCGGGCTTGCTCTTATTCCTCCTCTGCTTGCCACCAATCTTTCGGAACGGCACCATACCGATGTCATTCTTTGTGAGTGACTCCTTGCCTTCCTTCGGCAACAGGTATTCAGGAACGTGCCGCAGGTGAGGCTGCTGTCTGGCTGTTCTCAACTCTCCGTCGTGTCTGAGGTGCTGCAACTCTGTTGGGTTCTCCTCAAAGTATCTATGATTGATTAGCTGATTAGCAAGGTTCAAGTCAAATCCCGCATTAGGCATGAGAAGCCTAGGCTGAACAAACATACCTCTTCAGCTTCTCGCTCTTGAGAATCTCCTGCTTCAATTCTCTCATACGCGCCTCACGAACTGCAACCTTGGTGACTGCTCTCAGAGCGTCATCCAGACGATACCTGAATGCATCCAGATGCTCCTTCTTGAAGTTGTAAGGCTTCACCTCCTTGCCTAGCTTCGCTTGTTGCTTCTTAATCCTGGCCAGGATCTTCTCGTCGTTCTCTGCGGTTTCTATGCTCGTGGGGACGTGCTTGCGGTACAACTCTTGAGGAACGTAGAATGACAGTGACATGCCTGTCCGACCAGCGCGCGCTGTGCGGCCAATCCGATGTGTGTATGATGATGCTGATGTCGGCAGGTCGAAATTGACCACGGCTGCCACATTCTTGAAGTCGATACCCCGGGAAACGCCAAACTCAGCGTCTCGCTTCGACTTGCGCTTCTTCTTGGAGTCCTTCTCCTTCTTCGCCTCTGATCCCTCTCCTTCTTCGGCATCCCTCTCCTCGGCGCCCATTGCGCTCTTCTCGTCGGACGCAATGATGATTTCGTAGACTCCACGGTTGAACTCCTCCAGCACGTGCGCTCTCGATGTGACGGGCAACTCCGAGTTCAGAATACAGCTGCGGACCTGGAACTGCTCGAGGAACAGCTTCAGGCGATATGAACGGTCGACGTCGTTTACGAAGATGAGACATTTGCCCTTGACAAGCTTCAGCTTAAAGATGATGAATGCCAACAGGAACTTCTCATCCTCTCCACAGCTGACAACGAATTGTGACAGATTGTCGTTCTCTGTCTCCTCCTCGTCGAGATCCAAGATGGTAGGCTTGCGTCCGAAAATTCCTCCAAGAGTAGTGACATCTGTAGACAACGTCGCGCTCATCAGCAAGAGTTGAACACCCTTAGGAAGCTTTCGGGCAATGTTCTCGAGATCTTCGTCGTAGCCGTATGACAGGATGAGGTCAGCCTCGTCGAGAACCAAGCACGTCAGATTATCGAGCGACATCGCATCGGAGGTGATGTTGCGCCATGCGGTAGCGGGTGTAGAGACTACGACATCGGGGAAGTTTGAAAGGAGGGAACGCTGAACCGCATCAGAAATCTTGTCGACGAGCTTGACTGCGTGGATGTCTTTTGCGCAGTATGCTGAGAACTGTTCGATCGCTTTGAGAACTTGGTCGGCAAGCTCACGGGTAGGGACGAGGATCAGGGCGGTGGTAGCAGGCGAAGAATCGGCCTAGAGTTTATGGCGGTTAGCAAGGTTCAGTTATTCCATTGTCAAAACTGCTACGTACAGCTTTGCGCTTCAGGATGCTCGATAGCACAGGCAGAATGTATGCAGCCGTCTTTCCGGAACCTGTGGGCGCCTTCGCGGCGACATCTTTGCCGTCCAAGGCCAATGGAATTGCCCTCTGTTGCACCGGGGTAGGGTCCTTGAAGCTCTCGGCAGCGACAGCCTGTACCAATCGAGTATCGAGGCCCAGATCAGAGAAAGATAGTTCGGATGTAGAGGTTTCCGTCTTTGCGCGCTTCTCGCTCTCGGGCGCGGTCGCAGTCTCGTCGGCCTTTCTCTTCATCGTGGATATTGTTGTGTTGGAAAAGTATGATGTTCAAAGGAACCTGCAGCAAAAGTCCGCGACGCAGGCAATCCTGCCCAGATCAAAAAAAAAATCCAGATTGCGGCGGGGTGGGTCTTTGCTTATCTTATCAGGGCCCGTTAGCGTGGAAAATGGCTTATGTAAGGCAGGCTTTTTTTGGTGCGGGTACGTTCCTCTAGACTTAGCTCGCGCTTTAGCATCTCGGGGTTGTCACACTATTACGGAGTACCTCTCTACTTAATCCTATTAGAATTTGTTAATCTCTTTCATCACCTACTTTTCACTCTAACTCAATAATATCGGGAGGATCTCAGTGTTTGCGGTACTCCAAGATGACAGTGTCTACGACTCCTCCTCACAACTTGGCCGCCAGTTACTTAGTGGATTGCTCTCAGTCCAAAGGAGCCCGACTAAACTTGGCGTATTACCTGCATATTTAGGACATTTAGCGGTTCAATGACCAATAGGATCCTTGTTATGCACCCATTCCAAAGTCCCACTGACTGGCATGGTGTCAGCTGTTCGTGGCCGGGATGCTGGACCACGCTCACTTCACAACTTCATGCTTCCCGTGCCTTCTGTAAGGCAATCACTTCAACGTCTCGTCGACTAAGATATTGGGAGGACGTACGCCGCAATCATGTCCCTCTGCCAGATCTGTTCAACGCTCAACATTGAGCAGCTAGATGCCACAGATGTCCGCTTTCACCCCAGCCTGAAGGCCCTCCAGCAGAGTGCCGATGCGAAATGTCCCTTCTGCAACCTATGCTATACCCGCGTCATGGATGACATTCATCATAGCGTCACGGACGCCCTTCTCAATGATCAGATACCGTCAGGCTACGAGGAAGAGACGTTTGTTCCGAGCATCTGGCTCCATGGCGAGGTGAGGCAAGGCAACCGCGGCGTCGGCCACCAGCTCCCGGGATGTGCCATATGGATCTCGTGCGGCAGAATGCATCCTGATGTCGGTATGGAAGAGACCAATCGCCCCGGGATGCCATTTGCCTCGCGTTTGTCTCTTTTCGCGTAAGACCTCCAAGTTCAAAGTTCTTTTAGTCCTTATTCTTGGGCCAGGACTTGGCACATTGCATGAGAACTGAACATTTGCAGAAGCCGTAAAACGCCAGCAGCCCGCAGATTCATCGAACGATACATCATTGCGGACCATAATCCTAATCTCTACATAGACCTAGCAGGTTGGCGTTTGAAAAAGTGCAAAGACTCTCACAAGCTCTGTACACCGAGGTCCTCGGAGATGCCAACTCGCGTCATTGAGGTTGGCCGCATCGGCGAAAAGCCGAGACTGATAGTCACGAGTGGCCTTAGGGATCCATACATTGCTCTTTCCTATTGCTGGGGGCCCGGTAAAGATACGTTCACCCTAACGCATAAGACCAAAGATGAGCTTCTGGATGGCGTCACAGAAGAGAAGCTTACCCAGACTCATCGAGAGTCCATTCGATTCGCACGCACGCTCGGCATTGCGTATCTCTGGATCGACGCCCTTTGCATCATACAGGGCGATGCCAATGACTGGGCTTTCGAATCGCAACGGATGGCACACGTCTATGGCAACGCGGCTTTGACCATAATTGCCGGTCGTTCAGACGACGCGCGCAACGGCTTTCTTGCAAATGGACTTGATCAAAAAGTCCCTCCATGCACCTTGCCGCTGAGCCCAGACACCAAAGACACAATCGGCGTCTGTCTTCCGAGATCTACCCTCATCGGGCCGGTGTCCACGCGCGGGTGGTGTTTTCAGGAAGAAAAGCTCTCAACGCGGGCTATCATATTCGGCCAGGAACAGACCATCTACCAATGCCGAGAGGAAAAGAACTGGGAAGACGGCCAAGTCGATTTCCAAGACCTCAAGCCCACTTTCCTGACTCCTGGTTTCTCCAGGGGCGTCCCCCATTCCGCGGCTGATAAGGAGACCACCCTCTCAATGTGGTACGACTTCGTCGACTCGTTCACAATGAGAGCTCTATCGAACCCGCATGACGTGTTCGCCGCCATCGCATCCATCGCGATTCTTGCGAAAGACGTGCTCAAGTCTCGCTATCTTGCGGGCATCTGGGAAGACGATCTGGTCAGAGGCTTGCTGTGGAAACCACGTAACCAAGTGCATGCGTTCTTCAACACCTCAGTGGCGCGTCCGAAACCAACTCCATTTGCCCCAGCGCCGGTGATTCGCGCGCCGTCATGGTCCTGGGCGTCTGTAGAAGGTCCCCTTCGTCGCATTTACAATCCGAGAAAATCGAAACTCTTCCAGGACAGCAACTACGTCAAGATAAAACCCACGTTGGGAACCAGGTGGACAGCCGCAGAGGACTGTGATGTGACTGTCCTTCACATGCCGTCTTGTACGCTGCAAATCTTGGGGCGCACGGCCAAGGCGACTCTGATCAAGACGGGCGTTGTCGAGTGGTTTGAGGCGGATAAGACAAGAAAGCGATGGCTACCTTACAAAAAGATGCTGCCCCACTCAGTCTTGCTCGTCTCGAACGGGCAAAAACCAGATACGACGGGCAACGGAGACAACGTCGTTGCTGTGGGGTGCTTTGATGTGCCAGAGGAAGCAGCGCAGTTCGAAGAGGTATGGGGTCTTCGGCTGATTGACAAAGAGGGGTTGATCATTGTCCCGCACGAGGGCAAGTGGAAGCGGGCTGGGTGGTTCTGTTTGAGAGATGAATCTTGGCTTGAGAAGAAGCCCGAGGTTGAGATAGATCTCGTCTGATTTGGACGATCTAAGGCAAGCCATGCCGCGACTTATATTTCACGGAAGAACTTGTCTCAGGCCGCAGCCGTACTGGCCCTCATGATCACTTGCTGTCTCTTCTTTGCCTCTACCGAAGCCTTACGAGGGCTGTCTGCTTCGAACACTTCATCCAGCTCTTCCAGTGTGAAACCCTTGGTCTCAACAAAGAAGAAGTACATGAAAACCATTTCGAAACTGTCCCAGGCCACGAAGAAGACATAAAACCAGTACCCAATCTGTTAGGGATTGGTTGCATCAGTACACCAGCACAGCATATCCCATCATGTCAGTATGCGGAGATGTACTCACATTCGAGAGCGCAATAGGCCCAACAAAAGTGTTGAGGAATCCCGCCGCACCTGCCGTAAGCTTGAAAGTCCCCATCGCCTTGGCACGCATCTTGTTGCTGACAACCTCGGCCGGGTAGATGGGCTGCATCGGCGTGAAGCCCGTGGCGAAGATGGCACCAAAGACAAAGATGAAGACGATGCTGACAGTGGACGCCATCTTATTGCCGTAGTCTGTGTAGGCTGCTGAGCAGCCGGCGACTAGGGCTAGGCAGACTGTCATACCTGCGGTGGTGGAAATGAGCATCTTGCGGCGACCGACAACGTCATGAAGACGGGAGCCCGCGGTCGAAAAGACCCAGCCAATGACGGAGTAGACGATATTGAGTATCAGTTTCGTGTTCGTATCGGTGATGCCGACGCCCGCAAGCATGATGGGCAGGTAGTACGAGACTAGCATGTGTCAGTTGCTTCAGGAGACAAAAAGCCTGTTGCATCAAAGAACTCACTGATGTTGTTTCCACTGAACTGCCCAAACCAAGAAAACGCTACATTGAGCATAAGTCTGTACCTGCTAGACCGGCTCTCGACGAGGACCCTCAAGTCGAAGAGATCTTTCCACGAAGGTACGTGGGCTGGATCAAGCGAGTTGATCATTTCCTTCATCTGCAGGTCTACGAGAGGATGCTCGAGGTCTCCGTTGGTATGATAGATTGCGATGATATGTTTTGCCTCGTCATGTCGGTCCTTGGCGACGAGCCTGTCGTAGGGTCAGTCAAACCTTCGAGGCCGTGGTTGAGGGACAACTGACCATCGAGGAGATTCGGGGAAGAACTTGATCAAGACACACACAAGCCCAGGGCACACCATCTGAAGCCATAACGGTATTCTCCAATCCAAGTCTCCGCGATCACTCAGGTAGCGGTGGCACGCGTATACTGCCGATGTTGCCAATATTGAGCCCTACATGAAAAGGGCGACGGTTAGCACAAGCCTCAACAATTCATTTCAAGTCTCAGCCTCCCACTCCAGTCCCTCTCTTTATTGTTGAATTGTCACGTACCACGTTGTAAAAGGTGTTGTAGAGGCCTGCGACAGTGCCACGATATCTAGCAGGCGCGATCTCGACCAAGTAAAGGGGTGCAGACGTGTGAGCACAGGTAGCAAAGAACGACAAGATGAAGCGACCGCCAATAAACATAGGCAGACTCGTTGATAGTGCCGTTATTATTGCCCCGATGCAAACGCCCAAACAGCCGAAGAAGATGTGCCAGGTTCGACCGTACCAATCTGCCATCCAGATGAAGAGGGCACCACACATTTGACCGACCTTGACCCAATATTAGCAACCTTAATTCAATACGCTCTGCCACCGAATTGTACCTGAAAGATGGCGAACACGATGCCAGTGCTCGCGTTGCCCTTTGCAGGAAGCCCAAAGTACTCCGTGTAATTGGGTAATGCGTTGATGGACCCTAGAAGAGCGCTGTCGTATCCTACGTCGAATTAGCCGTTGAAAGGACAGTACGAGAGCGGAACTTCTCTACCATTCATGGTCGAACAGAAGAACAACACTGTGGCAAGGAGGTATAGCCTGATGTATCCGGGTCCTCGCGGGTCGGGTTTGTTTGTTGCCATGATCGTGGCATAGGTATCAACACCGGTGTCGGCATCGTCCAAGTGTTTGAGGACGGGGCCGTCCTTGGCGTTGTCCCTATCCATCGTGCAAACAAATCAATGGGAATGTCTTTGCGTGAGGCTCGAAGGGCACTGGAGCCTATCCGCCGAGTAATGCGAGATGTCACACTAGATCGTGGGAAACGATAACCCCAGGCTGTTCAGCCCACGAGATCCCAGTGACGGGAGGGGGTGGAGGAAGGAAGTTGACGATCTTGAAAGAGAGATCTAACAGCAAGTCGCTATCCGGCTGATCAAGTGTCACAACATAAACTGCATATGACACTGATTGTAGCCGCAATCTGGCAACGACAGTGCCCCGGATTTTAACCAACCCCGGAAAGCATCGACGCTGGGTCCATGCGGGGATATAAATTGTCGGGGAAATACTGGGCCTGTGGCACCATTCTCCTTGTTCCCTGCTGGGCTAGACAAGTGTGGCATGGATCGTAATGGACAATGTTCCAAAATAGCTCCCGGTCTTGAGGAGAAAGTACTAGCTAGGCCTACTTACATACTTTTGATCCGGCATGTAGAGTACAAATTCAGATCTCGTGCTGTGTGCTAATATGATCAGTCTAAGTCTGAAGTTGCGCACGGGCCTTCGCGATGGTCAACTCCGTCGCTGTTATTCGCACGTTGTTGACACTCATTGCAGGCCCTGGACTCTTCTAACCTTTCCAAAGTTTGTTGAAAAGAGCGAATATTGGCAATGTCAGAGGACATTGCAACTATCAATGAATCGCAACAGAATGGACGCTCATCAGTGGCTTCTGGCACTCATATGGACTTTTCATATTATCCCAAAGTCAGTGCGTACATGACTTGCTGCGAACGCGAGTCGCTCATGAACCAACAATGCCATTGCCGATCTCTGATCATGGACTATTCAATTTCCCAGACTAATGGGACAGCTCCTTCATCAAGTCAGAGTTTACAATGTATTTTTGAATGATGTCGTAGAGGAATATGTTGAAGCCTCTGTGATTCAACGCCCCATTATGTCTCACCATGTGGATCGCACCTTGTAAGTGCTGCTGCGTCGAAGCAACATCACCCACCAAGATCTGTCAGTTGTCGAAGTTCAGTTGAATGAATCCGGAATACTCATGCAAATAGCATAGTTGTACTGGCTCACCTCACCTTGTGGCAGGAAAACAGCTATTGTGATAATCGAATCAATAATCGGTGACCGCATTTTCAGGCATGAAATAGCATCCATGAGCAGCCGCGCACAGGCGACTTTGTACTGTAAGGCGAGTTGTGTATAGCGTGCTTTCTGTTGCGGAAAACAATGCGACAAATGCCGGCTAGTTACGAGGAAGGGGCCGTTTAGAGCGCTGCTGCTGGTTGCGGCCAGCTGAATGAATTGATGGTTGAGACTCCTCGTGCAGCCATCCAGAAAACCACTCCGGGTTGGCTCATAATTCGAACATGGCATGACATTGTGCACGTCTTTGAAGCAAATGTTAGTTATCTAGAGGCTGATCTTCGATCATTTGCTGGCAGGGTTCAAGCAGAGGACTCGGAAGGTTCAGAATCATCTGGAATAGATTCGCGGTTCTCACTTACGATAGTCTAGAAGGAAGTCTTCAACCGAACTAAGACGCCTCGCAAAGCTAGAAAAGGGGTCTCTCCTGGCAGATCCCAGGGGCTTAATCAGAGTAGAATCAGCAGTGACTTGGACGTCGGTTGATCTGACAGCTTGATACTGGAGAATTCGCTGTCGCCTTGCTCTTGCGTGTGCCGTCGTGGCTACATGAGAATGAGCTCGACGTTGTGACTCCGTTGACGCAACATTCGAGTTGTCCTGTTCATGCACATAGATGAACTAAATACAGCCTCTTTCGACTGACATGATAGCGATTGTTTTGACAGTCTTACGAAAGGCATGGCTGAGATCTTGTGCAGAAAGCTCTTGGGTTTGTAGATGCCCTCTTTCACGGGTTGCCCGCAAATTCGTATCATTTGTCAGCCGTTGTAGGACATAAGCCGCAAATACGCGAAGCAGTGTTTGTAATCGGATGGCTTACCATGAAGTCTTCAGCACAACCAGAGCAGCAGTAGCAGAGGTTCATGCGGCTCATCTGTCCAGGTCAGCAACTAACGCTGCCAAGACTTGCTGCTTCCAGATTGGGAAACCAACTGCTGGGAACCAGCTCAAGGCGTCAATGTACACTCCAAGGTTTCTTACTGGCTTCGATATTTTGTAACTGCACTTCCGTGGCAACTGTTCCTACCTTTGAATCCTACCGTGATGTCAATGACCCTGTCAAGGCATGCTCTTTCTCAACAAAGCATAGTCCGGGTTTGGACCTAAGCGACTGGTCAGTTCAAAAATGCTTCTCATAAGTTCCCACTTGATTTTGAGAAGTATATAATGCAGGCGTTGAAGCGAGAACACAAGTTTATTCCCAGTATCATTCAGAAAGCAAAAGAGAAAGTATTTCAGTCTCTCTCGAACTTCACGCTCTTCGCATCTTTCTTCGCAATGTCTAGCCTCAAAAGCAGAAGTCCGAAAGGCTCCTGGGTCCTTGTCACCGGTGCTACCGGCCACATAGCAGTGCATACGACCAGACAACTTCCTGAACATGGTTTCAGGGTCCGCGGAACCGTTCGAGATCTAAACAGGGCTACATGGCTCACCCAACACGTTTTTAGCCCCTTTGCTGACCGAGGCGATCTCGAACTCGTACAAGTCCCGGACCTCGGCGCCCAACATGCCTTTGATGAGGCGATCAAAGGAGTATCGGCAGTCGCTCACATCGCCTCGATTCTTTCCTTCTCCGACAGTCCCCAGGATGTAATACCTCCAGCCGTCGACAGTATGGTCTCGATTCTCGAGGCTGCGGCTCGCGAGCCGTCCGCCAAGTCGATTGTCTACACCAGCTCTATTGCCGCCACCGTTGACCTGAGTCCCGAGGTCACCGCACATGCAGGGCCGGACGCCTGGAACGACCACGCAGTCAAGACTGCTTGGGCTCCGCCTCCGCACGCCCCTGATCACTGACACATAGTCTACCGAGCCAGCAAGGTCGAGGCCGAGAAGACCTTGTGGGCCTTTGTCAAGAAGAACAAGCCTCACTATACCGTCAACGTCGTCAGTCCGGCGACTGTCTTGGGCGAGGCTCTTGGCCAGAGACATCTAGTGTCTCCATACCCATTGGTGAAGAACCTTTATGATGGAAACGAAGAGATTGGAGCTCTGCTTCAGGCCAGTAAGTCCTCCTTCAATACACACCCGTCCTTTTCAGCGACTGATAGCAATGTGCAAACACAGTCATCCATGTTGACGTGAAGGATGTTGCTTTGCTCCATGTTGCCGTGGTATTGGATCCCGATTGCAACGGAGCACGACTACAAGCCCAGGGTGAATACTGCAACATGAATGACATCCTTGCCATCTTGCGGAGGCTTCACCCGGAGAAAAAGTCTATGAATGACTTCCCAAACCAAACCGAACTTAGGATCACCGCTGAATACGACCAACTGGTTGAATTGCTCCGCAAGAGGGGAGGCCAGGATGGATGGACTCCGCTAAAGAACAGTGTCATTGAGGAGATAGAAGGGGCTCTCAAGTGGTTTCCCTGAGTCTCCGACTGATCATTACCTAATGCCAACGATTGAGTAATTAGATGAGACAAATCTACAGATTCAAGCTCTCAGAGTGCTCGTGTATGGTTGAAATCCGAGGGTGAATCCTCAATTATCACCTGGATGTCTGTGGCAAAAGTCATTCGCTTACAGCCAACACCTCACTCGTAATCACATAGGTTATCTACGTCCTGTTAATCTCTTTTCTAAACTCGTAACTTCCCTGAGTTGTCTAACAGTCCTCCACCATGACCATTGCCTGCCTTAGTTTCGAAACACTACAATACCATAGAAAGCTTCGTCTTATGAAAATTGTGCTGCGTTGTTTGTGAACCAAGCTTGCAGTGGGTATGGAACGGCGCGCATGACCTCGAAAAAATGTTGAGATCTTCATTATGTCTGGCAACTGAAGAAAGACCCATTCAGTGGCAATGCTATTTGGGGGTCCCGAATCGCAAGGTCAGAGGGTGCGGTAGAAGTCAACACCGCTTCTCATCACCCCTTCCCCTGTTTCTGAGCGCATGGTTACCCGAACAAGCCTCAGACGAGTCATTGAAAGAGGCAGTGATTAACGCGGGAAACCCGATTCCGCAGCAACTTGATGCTAAGCCTGTTCACTTGACAACTCACGATTGTTGTCTCGGTCTCGTGAGTTTGTCTGAGAGTTGGTTATAGCATACGTAGATAGTTGCTTAATTGACATAAGGTAGCCTAAAGCACGATCCTAACAGCTCACATCTCATAAAAAAAGCATCTTTTGTGGATGATACAAGCAGAGAGGGGCAAATGCGAGGGAGCACGGGCTTCCGCTCTAACGGCTATGACTTTCCGTACCTGGGGACTTTCGCTATCGCTTTCGCGACACCTTCATACTACTCTGTGGAGTTCACGCTGTACAACTTAGAAGGGGTCTGTAGATCTTAGCCCTGCCTTACTGAAAGGGCGGAGCGGATAGCGATGCCGACTTCAGGACCGCTCAGCCTTGTGTGTGTAAAAGTGATCAAGAACTCGCTATAAATGTCTATAGCATCCTCCTTCCATAAAAACATCACAACTCACATTCCAGATCAACCTTCGCAATCACTTTGTCAACTCTTCATACTTTACAGAAACTCCTGTCTTTAAGATCAATCGCCCACTCACCAACCCTCAAGATGCAGTTCTCTACCATCATGACCACTTTTTTCCTGGCTGCTGCGACCAGGTAAGTCAACCCAGTAGATACAATCAAAACCACACTGTTGGGTTCGTTGAATGTCTTGTTCGATCATTTGCTAACAGTGACAGCGTTGCCGCCAAGAAGCACTCCGAGCTCCACTGCATCACCGCCAGTGGTAGCGGCCAGTTCATCGTCGGCTTGCCCGTAAGCTCGCACTCCAAATTCATCAGATAGAAGTTGAGCGCAACGGAACTGACAAAATGATAGAACAACGACGTGACCAGAAAGACTTGCCCCGGCTTCTGCTCTGACTGCGTCCTCTCCAACAGTGGAACCACCATCACCTGCAAGTCTCCCGGCAAGTTGATGGAGGGCGGCGACTTCTCCGACGCCTGCATCAAGAACGGTGGATCCGGCAGCGAGTAATTCGCCGCAACTTACGTGTGAAGCGGCAACTGTAGGCCAGTGTTAGGAGTAAGGTTCTTTCACTCATGCATTACATCCAACATGATCCACGAGTCATCAAGTTGTAAACAGTGTTGATCTCGAACTGAAATCAGGACGATAGAAGTGTTATGGGTACTTCTTTCAATGAAAGCTCTGCCTACATATTCTACTAGCAGTGAATTTAACTCATGGAATGTTTTGATCTTATTGTGTATAATTAGTCCTTCGATTTTAGGGTAGGTATGCTTATCGAAATTTCCATGTCAAAACCGGTGATACACGAACTGGTTCTCGCTGACCTCTTGGGTGAACAAGATCTTTGTTGCCACACTGTGTAACTCGGGTGCCTTTTTGGAACCTCACGCAAGAGAGCTTTGATTTCGACATTATTATGACGGCGGATTGAGAAGAGATTTTCATTTGATTTTATCAAGGATCAGTACCAGTCATCCTTCAGGCCGCTATGTCCTTCTGCTTCACAAACGCAACTGCGATTAGAGATGCTTCATCTATGACAAGACGGATCCCCGCTCAACGCCCTGTTGATGCCGTAAAATCGATACTGAGCCAGCGGCGCTTTTGGCCAATTGGGTAGCTTTTTGCCGCTCTGGTCGCGGAAGACCGCATCAGGATGGACATCCAGTATGATGTAGTCATCGCCAAGGAATTCAATATTCAACTCCCGAGCCCCATCCTTTCTATCCGTGGGGATCTTGTAAGTTCCTGTTCTTTGAGGGCACTTGAATGATTCAAAATCCAGTTGGATGTCATCGTCAGGGTCTTCTGCGCAATCTATGGCTAGACCCCCTGACAAGACCCTGTCAACCTTCAATTCCGTTGTTCCTCTGAGCGACGGGTATTTCATGGCGCGGACTGAGTTCATGTCGGTGAAGTCGATTATCCTAGACACTCGAATACCATCTGGATCCAAGGGAGCTGCGTAGTCCTCGGAAAGCAAGTCGAACTGCGATAAAATGTTACGGCTCATGTAGTAGAGAGGTTTTGCTTCGTCTCTCGTTCCGTTTCGTATCAGAGCGTCGATGGCCAACTTGACTCTCTTGAGTTTGTCATTATTTTGCCGGGCCATACGTTCCATCCTCATCTTTTCTTCAATCTTGTAATGTTTACTGGTTTCGGGGAAGCCATTCGCGCTTGAACATCGCTCGTTGGTATTTTGCTTCGCGGAAAAGCCTTTCTTCTTCGTCATCGCCCGTGTACTCTCGCCAGATGGGCGTCTCACACTCACAATCAGAACCATCTTCTTCGTAAATACACTCCCCCTTTGAGGGCTCAATGTCAGAAAGATCTTCTGCAAAGGCTCTGCGACCGTGATCCTCGACCGACCAATCTAGCCATTTCATGTGACGAAAGAATCATTCTGGGCGATTCTTGGGGTTGTATTGTGGCCGCGTGTATGCCTTTGAAAATGGACCCTTGTGCTTTCTTTGGTGTTGATTCTGTTGTTGCTTAGATGCATGCTCCTGCTTTTGCGCCTCTTGCCTTAGTTGATGTAGTCTTTGCTGTACCTGGCGATACTGCTCCTCCTCCTGTTGCTGGTGAGCCTCCAATCGTTTTGTCTTCCTTCGTCTCTGCCCCCTACCCATATTGTAAGAAAGTACGCAGGTAATTGCCAGAACCAGAAAGTATCAGATTAGAGTTAGAGTGTGTGCCAGAAGTGTAAGACTATATCAGTGTGTAGGAAAAGGATAAAATCGTTGTATCTGAAGTCACAATCCTGTTGGGCCTCTCCTTCAGTTGCCTAGCAACTGGAGCCTCAGAAAGGGGTTGGAGATTTAAAGTGGAACTCTGAAATTATATCACGTTATCTCGGCGCATTCGGTCAAGACATTTGCCAATCCTTTGATTCAGTGAGTAAAATCAATCATCGTGCACATTATTGACGGTGAAAGAGTTATCTCAAGCCATATTCCCGGCTATTTCTCTTGTGCTAAGAGAAAAATTGGTGGGTTGCAACCGGTGTGCTACAGCCTGCGCCGCGACTCACTGACCAGCCCGACCAAGTCCCCACAAGCTAGTCTTCTTACACCGACAGCATCGATAAGGCAACGTTGAGTTGCAACTTCATACGTGGATTGACTCAGTACATGTCTCACTAAAGTCCCTTAGCTGCTTGAGCCTTGGATGCAGGTCGAGCTCACGAGATTGTTAGTAGCTTGCTAGAGCAGATGTAGGATGGAGAATGGACAACCTGTGGTCGGTGAGACAGTGAGACTAAGCTTCCTCTTCTCGAACCTCAGAGGGTCTACTCATTCCTTCTACTAGTTCAAAGCCTCCATTGAATCATTCGCCGGTTTCGAGCAAGGATTCAACTGGTTTCTCTACCGCATCTGCGGATACTGCTGTACAAACGGTGAGTCCAGACTCTGGAGTGAGGATTTGGGGTTGACCAAGATGGTGGGGAGAAAGGTGGATTCAACTGCGGAGAGCTTGGGGAACGTGCCACATCCCACCGGGGATATGAAAGCCCGCATCCAGAAGAGGCAAATGGGATCATAAACTCCCGACCGAGTGCATATGTGGGTATCGTGAGATACATGCCACAGACCACCCAGAGGTACCAGGTGAAAGAGGTTCCGCATTGTGCCTTGTCACTTCAGCGTATCGTGACACCAACCTGCAAGAATTTAGCAGTCCCATGCTGTGCTATTAATCTCATTCATCTGTAGAAGCAAACGATGTTTGAAGCGACCCTTCTGTATTCATGATGAGTCGAACGTGGCCGCTCTCCGAAGGTGCCTTCCTTGTGCGTCATGACGAAACAATACAATGCTAAAAGTTCACAGTCCGCCGACATCGAACTATTGATGATTGTTGGATGGCCATTCATGGCGTAGTCTACGATGTGCGTTTTCTGGCCCTCTTACAAGAATCACAAAACTCACCATAGGCGGCAGATCACATCATTCCTCCCCAATCACCCGGGCGGTAAAGCCATTCTCCTAAAGAATGCAGGCAAAGATGCTAGCGAAGCGTTTGATGCCGTCCACCCAGTTGAGGTTTTGGAAGAGTATCTCCGGCCTGGCCAGATTATGGGAACATTTGAAGTCACAGAAACGGGAGGCAGGCTGCAATCAGACATGCCACCTCCGGACGCACTCGCGAACCCATCGCCATCACCAGATAAGTCAGATGACGTACCTCCAGTGTCTCAGATCCTGAGTATCGCTGAAATGGAGCATTATGCCTTGCAAAAGATGAGCCCGAAAGCCATCTCGTACTACGCCTCAGGAACCGATGACGAGGTCACTAAAGTTGGGAATGGCACCATCTTCCATTCCATTCTCCTGCGGCCACGGGTTTTTGTTGATTGTACCCGGTGCTCCTTATCGACGAACCTCCTTGGAAATGCAGTCGGCATGCCAATCTTCGTTTCGCCCGCAGCCATGGCCAAATTGGCGCACCCAATAGGCGAGGCCGGCATTGCAGCAGCGAGCTCCAAGTTCAAGGGCTTGCAGATCATCAGCAAGAATGCGTCAATGTCTCCCTCAGCAATTGTCCAGGCCGGCCCCGACGCGACTTTCGCATGGCAGCTCTACGTTCTGAAGGATATCGAAGCGACCGAGAGGACATTGGCACAGATTCGAGCCGTTCCCCAAATCAAATTCATCGTGCTCACACTAGACGCTCCGTTCCCCGGCAAACGAGAAGCAGACGAGCGATTCAAGATGGCAGAAGTTGCGGGAGGCGCCCCGCCGGGTGTATGGGGCACGGAGTCGGGACTCACGTGGAAGAAGACGCTTGCCTGGCTCGCCAAGCATACGACTCTCCCGATAGTGTTGAAAGGCATTCAGACACACGAGGATGCGTATGCGGCGACCTTGTTTCCGAGCGTAAAGGGTATCATTATCTCGAATCATGGTGGACGGGCTCTGGATACGACAATGACGCCTGTACAAGTGCTTCTGGAGATTCGGAAATTCTGTCCAGAGGTGTTTGACAAGATTGATGTTCTCATCGATGGAGGTATCAAAAGAGGTACAGACGTCGTCAAAGCTCTGGCCCTGGGAGCCAAGGGTGTCGGCGTTGGAAGGGCGGCGCTGTACAGCCTAGCTGTTGGGGGACAAGCGGGTGTTGAAAGGGCATTGCAAAGTAAGTTCAACCTCATCGCCAGATTCATCCTTCGCGAATCGTAAGCTGAAGTGGTTCTTTAGTTCTTGCAGATGAGACCGTCACCGCAATGAGACTGCTTGGTGTTGAGCGTGTGGATCAACTTGGACCAAGACATGTAAGTTCAGAATCGCCCACCTTGATTCCATCGTCGATGATGGCGACATTTCTGACATTGTTGCTATTACCTTAGATCAACACGAATGGTTTGCAAGCACAGCTTTACGGTGGACCATCCGGCCTCGAAGCGATAGATGCAGAGCTGAAGTCAAAGTTGTAAAATTTGTATTGCAAAACATCAAGGGGCAAAGTCGAAGAAAGTTGAGGCTTGGTTGAACAGACAAGGCCTATGTTTGTCACCCCTATCTATCTCTCAATTCGTTACGAAGGAGGTGGTGTGAGACCCACTCAATCTGACCACCCTACTCGATGCTAGCCGTGGTCAACAAAGCTGTCAAATAGTGGGAAACGCATTGAAAAGCCCAAGCTAAGATGATCCCTCAGGTTTGCGTCCGTACACGTTTTGCCTATCTCATGTCAGCAGAGCCTTGTCTAGACCACAGAAACCATGATCAACTCACAAGTATATGACCGTCTGGAGCTTAGGGTCCTTGAGAGCTTTGCGTGCCTCGGCAACGAACACCCCCGCCGATATGCTATCCCAGTCCATCACCTGAGTCAACAGAAACATGGAAAAGCCTTCGAGAGACTGGTCGTGAAACTCCAGGTTGCAGATGCCAACCTCTTTCAGCGTGTGGTCCTTGGGCCAACCCCCAATAGGCACAGGCCAGCTCTTCTCGACAACGTCGACGAAGCCGGCGTCCCTCATAGCATCGGCGATTTTGTGGCCCCCTCGTGACTGATCCATAGACTTGCCGAGGCGGTTTGCAGCCTCGAAAAAGATCTTGCCCCACCTGCGGTAGACGTGGTCTTCTGGGAGACTGTCCCCATACGCTTGAGAGCGGAACTCAATGTCAAAATCCTTCATCTCAAAGTATCCCCCAGGCTTGAGGTGATCGTAGATTTGTTTGTAGAACGCAGGCCAGTCGGAGATGCAAGCCTCCATGTGGCGGAGATGAATGAAATCGAAATCAGGAGTCCATGTCCATGGCTGTTCGACATCATCGATTTGAAACTTGCAATTGGGCGGCACCCAGCCAGGCTGGATAGGCGAGATGTCGACACCCGTTACTTCGGAAGACGGGAACTCGTCAGCGAAGTCACTGCGTCCCTGTCAGTTTTGGCTTGGTTCAAGAGAGGCATTTCAGGTGGAATGAATCAATGAACTTACATTGCCCAGATACCAGTACCGGTTCCTAAGTCGAGGACCTTCTGTTCAATTCTTCAGAACCGTATCTTGACTGGAGATGGAAGCTTCTTACCAACGGTCCATCCCCGAGCGGTGAAAGAAAAAGCTTGTCGCCGAGGAGTAGCGTTTCCCAGTAATGCCTTCAAGAGCGTGAATTAGCCAATTGAGGATTTCAAGGAAGTTCCCTACTACTCACGCGAGATCAAGGCCCTCATTTTGCTGCTCGTCGTTCGGACCCCAGTAGTCGGCCTTTTGCGTATAAGTACGACCATGAATTCTGCGGTATTCGGTGATGCTCTCGGCTAGCGATGCAGTCGACTGAGTCGCAACGCTTTGCCCGCCTCTGTTAGTGTTGCGTCTCACTTGGAATTCGGGAATCGAGCACAAACCTCTCTGTGTCCGCCAAAGAATCATGATCATCGGCTGCGACAATAGGATTCTAGCACTCAATGACTTGTCAGAATATCGATACTTCCCCGCCACACTCAAAGCAAGTTCCCCCAGAAACTAAAGTCACAAGCCCTAAAATAGTTTGAGTTTCGCGCGAAGGTTCTCACAGGGTCGTTCGCTACTACCGCAGGCTCAATCGTGGCCGCAGCCGGGGAGGCTGTAGGAGCAGTCGCAGGAGCGGCGCTGGGCTGAGTTGAGGCATCCATTTTATGTTTAATCACGTCAACGTCGTATCCGGGAGGATAGGTGTAGATGTGACCGTCGAAGAGACTCCAATGCCAACGCCGAGAAGATCAGGACATTGGAATAATCGATTATCATGACGGAAAGAGGCGAATTTACCCCTCCCTCCATCGGAGGAAACTACCCGTTGTTGGTTGTTGTGTCTTGGCGAAATCCTCATCTCGAATGGAAATAACCCACCATACCCTTGGGACGATCACCAACCAACGAACCAGCGCTTTCACACCACTGTGCTTGAGAACTCGTCGCTAACCCCGATCCAGGGGTCTTCACCGGTCTCCTAACCCTAAGTAAGCACATTGAACGGTCGGCGCCATTATCGTCCACGTAGAGAATACGGGGGGAGCCAGCGTTTCCACAATACTCCGAGGGATAATTGCCACGCTTTAGGCGCAATATTTGATCTGTCTAGAAATCCGAAATCTTGTAGGCAGAATTAGGACGATTATCAAATTGATCACAGCGCGTAAATTGATACAGGCCGTTACCGTCAAGTGTCAGATACTCAACACGCGATGCCCTTGATGTGCGTGAACACGCACGTCTGGCACTCCGCTCTCAAATCAGCCCTCATTCATAACTTGACCTCAGAACGAACAACTTGGAGATTACCTCGTTCAGGCTCTTAGATACCGGTGCTTAGATACCGGTGAGCGAGTCAGTTGTGCAACAATGGAGTCTCTCCGACGGGCATTCAGGAACCCGAGCTCACATACAATTTCACTCATGCTGGTGGTCAAGTGATGAACTGCTTCTTGCTCTGGAAAGTTCGAGGGGCAAGACGCGACCGAACCATGCAATCAAACAGGTCGAATATCACTCTCTCCCTCGACCAGCGCGTGGAGACTTGTACGCGCCATTATGATGCCGAGTACCGAAGCCGTTTGCGCATCGCTGACAAGGCCGAGGCCGCTTCGTGGTTCCTCGCCGAGCGTATCATGGATCGACATTTTGCGCGTAGGGCTTTCGTAATTGATCGTATCAAGGAGGACCGAGACGGAGACGAGGACGAGTCCGCCGCGATGGCCTCATGGAAGGAGTCGCTCAGCAATGTGGATCAAGAGCTCAAGGCCGTGATGCAGCCTGACCTGAGCAATACCGGGAGCTTTATCGAGATCAATTGGCAACCACGCAAGGGGATATGGAACTTTTGGAACCGTGAAAATTGCGGCCCTGGAGATAGGATGTCCTCTTGCCGCTTCGGGTTCGAAGCTTTCGGAGACAGATTTGAGGAGATGAGGGATGCTATCGAAGTGTTTTACAACCATTTCGTTCCAGGTGGCATACTCGATCGACGGGTAGATCAGGCTCGGGCGGCTCGACTCGTAGCCTTGTAACCATCGGACGTTGGCCGGAGAGTTCTTGCAAGGGAAATGAATAACGATAGATTAAATTCCAGGCAGCAGTCAGTTCAAGCCCGCCATCGCCTTATTCGGCATTTAGAACGCAAGGAAACGGAAGTCGAGGCCCATATTAACTGTCCGCATTGACAAAATCGGAAGCTCAAGGTGGGTTGTCACTTCTTGTCTTTCATTCACTTTGACCAATATGTGTGACTGGCAAAGGATGGGCCTTATCCCAGTCATTCGATTGCTAATGATCCTTTACGATTCGAAAAGTGTTGACAGACCGTTGGTCGAATCCCACAGATCCCTTTATCACCCACGAATGCCTCTGGCATTTTGCTAGCCAGCTAAAATCTAGTGAAGGTGCCCAATGTTTTGGTTTACTATTCTTCGGCGCATCTAGCGTTCGGCATCCAAGTGCCGCTTCGCTAGCTTTATCACTACCCTACTTAGATCATTCGCACTTAGCGTCGTCCTCGCGGAACATGCGTCAGTCGTGGACGTGGCCCAGTTTTAGCTTCAAAGTCCGGAGGAAATTCCGATATACGCCACCTATTCGGCATTGATACTTAGGTATGCCGAAGAGCTTTGGGTGCTCTTTCTACACAATCGAAGACACTAGATTCATTTGACAAGTCGAGGTTCGTGCATTCAGTCTCGGGGTTGAGAACTGGAAAGTTATGGGCAGAAGCTACTTGATTTGTGGAGGATGATACATAGAAGCCATTGACTTACGATGAATTTAATCATCTTGAAGCAAGACAGATCCCCCAAATTTCATTCATCTTCTACATCCCCATATTTGATCTTGACCACAATGAGATGTCGTAGATTTATTTGTAAACAAGTGTTCCGATAATGGAATTAATAGTTCGGAGCTTCCAGCGATGCAAGCGGCCATGGATGATGGACCACCAGGCCCAGGCCCAGGCCCAGGCCCCCCTCCAGGAACATGCAGCCTACCCCCTCTGTGACGATGACCCCCTGAGACCGGATTTAATTCACTACGAAAGCGTCAACAGGCTTTCTATCCTGGCAGAAACATGCTTTCCAGAAATATAGAGCAATAAGACCCACCCCCTGAGAAAGTATCAACGGCCTTCAGCAACCCCTGAGCGCTGACCACTCGGCCGTATGGCTCTCCACGACACCGTTCTCAGCAACTTAGCAGCATATATCTCGAAGACATCTAAAAGACTTCCGGATTACTCTAGAATTGCGTTTTACTTTCGCTTGTATCACCTAGCTTAAGGTAGTAGATTCAAGTCAGCCAGAGATTGAGCAAGCACTCGAACGCCAGAACCAGGTGCCGCTCCGCACGTTACCAACCGAACATTCCGTATTGTTCATGAGCGATTCATACGTCTTCCATGACCGAATGATCACAAAGAGGTAGGCCAACATCAGCCCATCGACAAATCGAGGATTTTGTGTGCAGGTTGATCATGCGAGCTTGTCTGAAGGATCTTCTCTCTGACCTCCAATTCTTCTCAAGGAAACATAAGGTGCTTCAAGTAATGACGTGTTGCTGGAACTGGAATGGTCATCAAGAATCAGCAGTTGGGGCCAAATCTGCTCCCTGTGAAAAATGATCCCAGCACGCCTACCCCGTTCCCTTCTCTCGTTGGCGTCACTCCTGTTGATCCATTTCGAATCTTGGCCGCGGTCGAACAATTTGATCACCTTTTGACCCACAGTCAGAAGACTTGAGAGCCTGATTTGGGGTAAACATTGGACACTCGATGATGATCCAATTGAGACCCTAGAGTGTGATCGAGCCAAACTTGTCGAGAGAATGTCATCTAGTTCACAGCCCTCGGCATCGCACGACAACTCCACATGCTGCAGACTAGGCACCAGAATTAAGGTAAGGCGCAGCTTTCAGGTATCAAAAAGTCTACCAAGCAGGCTCACATGTGATGAAACAACTCAACTCTGGCCTCTCGATGGTAATCCTTCTGCACATGGTTCTCGGCATCACCGTCTCCGCTATGATAAGTCACCTTAGCAAGAGACTACGACGTCTACCTCGGCCCCCGAGTTACAATCCGACGGAGCCGAGAGCAACAGCTAGTCATTTTGTCTAGGAACATTTACATTGCTCGGTGAGCAAGGCATCACTTAGCTACAACTTTAGTCATTATTCATTAGAGGCTGTTCATTTAAGTGTGTTGCGCAATGGATCGACCGACAACGATAAGAGTTTCCCTTAGCTACCCCTATTTACAGAGGATCGCTTGGATTACCTTAGTGAGGGGTTGATAATGAACCTGCTAAGCAGTGAGCACTGAGGTTACCAGGGCGCATGCAGCATCGTCTCCAGGGATCGAGACAGGGTGCAAGACATGGTGGTACGCAGTCCACACGAATCCTCCCGTACGTGCTCTTGGTTGTCCATCTGCTCGGTGTGTCCGTGTACTGGGCACAGATCAAGCCACATGGCTAGTTCCAAGCTAATAAAGTAACAACTGGACCTTAGGGTCTTCTCTTTCCTACACCGCATTCTACTTCGCTTTCAAAAAGAGTAATCCGGTTTATCATTGCACATTTCATTCGTTCTATGACCGGCAGTCCGTCCCCCCTAGAATAGTCCATGATGTGCTTCTTGATGGCGGCGGGTCCTGCCGCTAATTAATCTGTCTCGAGCGCCTCAACTTTTGTATGGATAAGGCAGGGAGGAGCAATTGAAACAATGCGGGCGTTCCTTCAGTCTCCGCCTTGGATCCTTTGGGAAGCTTCTCGCTACTTGCTCGAAGCCATGTATCCATTGGTATATGGGTGTGGGCCGAGGCTGGATTGCCGGCGATGAAAGCAGACAAGGTCGTAACTCGCAAGGGGTTGGTCAAGCATTCATCCCTTCGGCACGAGAGGCAGCCTCACATCTCGGGCCTTTTGGAAAGAAATTAGAACTGGGTCGATCCGGTTGCTCGCGGGCCCTACCCGGAAATCGTAGACACAATATACCACACGAGGCACGTGGGTTGCTATCTCATAGACACACAAATGAGCGTGGCTTATTGTAGGTTTAGAACTGTCCGAGAAGGACTGTAGTCACTATTATGGGAATGGTCATAGAACGGGCATATGTCTCGAAAAGCTGAGTTTGAGGAATTCACTGTCAGCCTTTCCCCGGAGATTGGATGCCATGCAGAGAATCTCAGTCGGGCTCTAGTCTGCATCCTTCTCGATGAATTCTTTTTCAGATGTTCAATGAATCAGGCAGGTCATGAATCTACAGCGGATGTACGCATCGGGGAACCCGTAGTTCTTGTAACGTTGCGCTAGTACGGATACCACGGACCATGGATCGCAAAAGGTCATAGGCATGTCGTGGTGGAAGGTGTCTAGCCCTACCCAAGGTAGGTAAGGCAGTTGAATGACCATGGGGCTGAAACTAAAAGGGGACATTGTGGCGGCACTTGACGGTGTAACTACGGAGAGAGATCGTATAAGCAAAAGTTAGAATGTTTGTTGCCTAGAAAGAACCATACCACAACAACTAAGGTCCACAGTGTTTCAATCAGGGGCTTGGGGTAGTGGTGGGCAGTTGAGGAGAGGTCTGGGGCGGGCTTAGGTTACTCTGGGCTCGCTTTGACGTGCTGGAGATCATCGGGCCGAGCTGGAAAGTGGAACAACTCTTTGGCCAATCTCTTAGTCGGCATCGTAGACATGAGATGTAGCCAAGCCAATGTCAAATGCTTGGTGCCTGGAGAACGTGCTCAAGGCATTACCAGTTGATGTTTGACATTTAACGTTTTGGTTATCAGAACGGGAAGGCGACAAGTATAACACTACCTCATTGTGGCTTTGTGAAGAGGGTAAAATTGTAACTTCATAGGTAGATCCATCCCTCACTAGGGAGTTGGTCAGGCAGCCAAATTTCCAGGTTCTTTTGAGACTCAGTTTGAGTGTGGATGAAGGAAGGGAACCGGACTGGAAGTGTCAAAAATGGGCGATCTGGTCTAGGCCAAGGGGCCCAAGGTTCAAGGCCTAAAGGTGCCGCCGGGTCGGGTGAAAAAGTGGTCTTGACTCCTTCCCAAATAGAACCACCAGTGCCACCCCTGGTCTTCCTAAAGGTACTTAGTCCAAGTACTTGGTGTAAGTAGTTTGTACCGAGTTTTAGTGCAGAACTCCAACTGGCAACTGCCAACCTAACCCCACACTCGGGTTGCTCCTTCCCCATGTTCATCACAGGCGCTCCTCGCACTTTCCCCGCGCCATTCCCTTTGACAACTTCCTCCTCGGCCCCTTCTCTTCCTCCTCCCGTCCTCCTCATCCTCAAACTCCTCCTCACGGGCAGTTCAACGTCACCCTTTCCGTCCTCTTCTTCAACCCACATATTTCTAATCCAGGCCCGCTCCTCCAAATCCCCGGCTCTCCGCATATCCCTTCCCCCCAATGTCTCCCGCTCAATTGGGTCTTTCGCCGTGCCGAGGGCCGTGTAAATGCCGACTACAACCACCACCAGCCCAACAACCACGGGGCGGGCGACCATGTTCCACTCCTTTGACAGCCGCCGCAGCCCCGAGGGTTCGGCCGTGAGCTCACCGACAACTTCACGCAAGGTCAACCGCTCATGTCAGGAATGCACGAGACGCAAGGTCAAGTGCGATGGTGGACATCCTTGTGCGAGTTGTCAGTACTACAAGGTTGCAGATTCATGCGAGTACAGGCAGCGTAGCAGACGACATGCTGTGAGCAGGAGGTATGCAGTAACCCTTGCCCATCATTAGATCCCCCGATACTTTCGTTCCTGCAGGATCATCAAGGCTGACGATTACCCCAGTACTCTCGAAAAGACCTCAGAGCAGCTCCGCGCCCAGTCTAGCGTGCTGCAGAAACTCTTCCCTGATGTTGATGTGAACGATCTAGTAGGCAAGAGTCGAGCAGAGTTGCTCGCTTTGTTGCCGCGAGAATCTCTCTTTGTTTTGCGCTCCTCGGTTCCGCAAGCCGACCCTTCACCAGCTGGTGTCTCAGCAGCCGATGAGGATGACGATGATGACGGCCACGATGATTCGGCACAAAATTCTGAAAATGGAGATGCTGCAAACGAGAGACGATGGGATGAGCCAGCCCAGCAGCCGGCGGCCCTTGGCTCTAGCGACGATATCAACGCCATCAGTCTAGCAACAGACCAGCATCGCCGCTCCTATCTCGGCGTCACATCCATGAGTGCCGTTCTCAGGGTGATATTTCGTCTCTGTCCAGCTGCCAAAGAGCACACAGCTCAGAGGGCAAAGGCCTGGAACGATGTCCATTATCAGTCTCAGCTGCTTCCGTCACTCTCTCTTGTCAGCCCCGGCGCGGGCATGAACCCTCTGCGGGAACAGCGCTGTATCGACTTTTACTTTGATCACATCCACCCAGTAACACCGATTCTCAATGAAGATGACTTTAGACGCAACCTTGCGTCAGGAACTCGTCTTGATGGCTCTTGGCTGGCCCTACTCAACATGGTCTACACTCTGGGCTCCATCGCCTCCGGCAGTGACTCCCTCCACGTTCAGTACTATAAACAGGCACGCGCTTACCTCGATCTCGATTCCCTGGGCTCTGGTAACATGGAGAGTCTACAAGCTCTCTGCCTTCTTGGGGGCTACTACTTGCACTACCGAAACTCGCCCAACATGGCGTATGCTGTTCTCGGTGCAGCTCACCGCGTCGCAATAGCCCTAGGATTGCATCGAGAACCCGCACGCAGTCGTGCCGAGAACGTCACGGAGCACAGTAATTACCTCTCACGCGCCGAAACGCGTAGAAGAACCTGGTGGAGTCTTTTCTGCCTCGATACGTGGGCGAGCATGACCCTCGGCCGCCCTACGTGTGGCCGATGGGACAGCAGTACCATGGACACGCTCTTACCCACGCCATTGTTTCCCGATGACCACGTAGCAGCATCGTTACGAGCAAGCTGTCTGTTCTGCCACATCTGTGACAGGATTCAGCATCGTTTTGCGCAACCCGCGCGCTTATCCGCCCGCGAGGCCATGGCTTTCGACCGAGAGCTGGTAGAGTGGCACGACTGTCTTCCCGACTTCCTCAAGAACCCAGCAAATTCTCCACCTCGTCTAACGGAAGCTCGCGAATTCATGCGGAACCGCTACCTCAACGTCCGACTCATCCTTACGCGAAGCTTCTTACTCTACCTAGCCCACGATTATTCCCTCAGACGCGGCGCCAACGCCATCTCGACTGTCCCTGGGCCTACCCCTGACGAGCTAGCCCTCGTTGAAACCTGCCGCTCCGTCGCCATGGAGGCCATCGACGCCATTACACTCTACTGGACACCTAACCGCATCCACGTTTGGAACTCGGCATGGTACCTTTTCCAAGCATGCATGGTTCCAATCCTCTCCATCGCCATTGACACACATGTGCGTAACTCGGTTCATAAGCAGCAGCAGCAGGAACAATCACAATATCCACCGCCACCATCCACAGTCCCCTCGCAAACACCACATCTGGGAATACTACAGATGCCAACAGCAGCGACAATCAACTCCCCCGAGCACAACATCTTCCTACCCTCTTGGTGCGCAAGCCTCACAAAAGCCCTCGAGCTCTTCAACGATATGCGCTCCTGGATGCGCGACTCGGATCGCACCCCCGATATTGTCGGCGCCCTATACGAGGCCGTTACCACCGACCTCGAAGGCTCCGGCGCCGGCTCCGCCATTCGTACGCCCTCGACGGAAAACAGTATAGACATGTCCATGTGGTGCGACGAGCAGCTGGTGGAGATGGACTGGAGTGCATTCCTGGGCGGTGGTGATGGTGATGGCAGTGGCGGCGTTGACGGGATGCATAACAACAACATGTTTGTTTTCACGTGAGTTAGTATGGAAGCGGTTGAGAGTGATGCATTGGCGTACAAGTTCTTTGGAGAGAATTTTGGGCCCCGGAATACCGTCCAAGATTTGCCAGGTTTAGAAAAGAAAGGGGAGGGTTGTTATATCATCTCAGATCTAGGCCTTCCAGTACTTGCTCGCATATATAGACATTGTATTCAAGCGATAAGAATGTATTTGTTATAATGGACAAAGTATGGAAGAGAAGTCACGTACAGAAATATTTGTTAAGTGTAATCTTTTTTTTTTTAACGCACGTAGTGTGCAGAATAAAGAAACCAGATAATAGGCGAAGAATCGAATGAAGTGTGCTATGAATTATACATGGTATCATATTGTTCTATCAAACGGCCAACAAAGTAGACGTGATTCGTGACATCACCCAAAATACGCCCGACAAGCTCTATGTCCCGACCCTTGCTCTTCATTTCCGTCTCCCTCCAAGATCCCTGATAAGATGTCCCTGGGTATAGCCCCTTAAAACTCCTCGATAACACGGACAAATCGCTCTTGCGCCTTACTACTCTCTCACTCGCTGGATACGACACACTTCACGCGCTCACTCACTACCGCCCTGCTTCCCCTCGAACTGGGAAACCCTCCTATGTTGCACTCTGCTGAATCTAGCCAACGCCCGCTGCCGCGCCTTGTCTTCCTTTCGAAGCCGGACGGCGGCCCGGACGTCGACCTTCTCGTCCTTCTCTTCCTCAATACTCTGGTACATGGTCCCCAGTGCCGAGATCCTCTGCGTGCCCCGGCGCCCGAGAGCCAGGTCCGATCGCATGGGGATATCAAACAGGTCATCGTCCTCGTCCTCAGCATCACCATCGCCATCATCAAGAGTAGAAATTGGCGCCTCAATCCTGGGGTCTAAAGAAAACTTTCGATGTAAACGACCACCGGGATTGCTGAGGGAATACTTATGACCAAACCGCTCCGGCGACGTGGTTTCGGGGTCCGGGATGTTAGACAGACTATCAAAGAGACCCGGCAACTGAAGACCGCCTTGGCCATACCCTTCGTCGCTGAAGAGGAGCCCTTCTTCGTGGTCACCGCTTTGTGCTGAACCACGCTTCCGCGTGGTGATGAACGAGTCGGCGTCGATGTCGTCGTCTGACGACAAGTAGTCGTCAATGTTGAACGCATCTCCAAGCTTTGCCGGGGTAATTGGAGAGGGCAAGGCACTCTCCAGTGCTGTGCAGAACGATGCATGGTCACCTGTACCGCTGTGTAAGGAGCTGCAGCTGTCATTGAGGAAGGACGACATGGTAGCCAGATCTACCGTCGTCGTTGTCGTGTGTCGGGAATGAGGTCGTTGAAAGGAGCTGGTGCTCGACATCGTGGGGGTCGCCGACGAAATCGACCAGTGCCGAAGGCTACTCGTCCGCATGGGCACGTGTTCGTAGATCTCGTCCAGCTTGCCCTTTCCAAATGGTACTCCGTTACTCTTGGATCGTGAGTAAGAATCATCCTGGGCTTCACGCCACGAGTGGCCACTTCTCATCACATCTGTCAAGCAAGTCATGTTAGCAGAAGATCTTCCGGGAGTAAATAATAGCAGACAGTAGAGAAATCGACGGTAAAAACTAACGAGGTGAAGGCGCCGGTGAGGACACAACCCCAGAATCAACAAAGCTCTCAACCTCAACTCGACCGACCCATCCTCTTGTGCCGGGCTGTCCATCGGGCTTCGCATTCCGCGGCCACTCGGTAGGACGAGTAGATGCTGCAGCACCGCCTATCGCGGAGAGGGTGTGCCGTTTGGATGGTGACTTCTGGGTTGGGGAGGAGAATGTGGGACTGGCTACTGACCCTCCGCGGGATGGCGGCCTCACCGCCTGGTATGATTCAGTGTGGATAAGACCTGACGAAGTCTTTGGTCGTTGCTGGACCGGTAACGAGTAGTTGTGCTTGACCAAGTACGTTGGCTTTTGGGTCGTCTTTGGTGACATCGATGGATCAAGATGCCCTCTCCCAGATGTAAAGATGCCCAATTCGTTCAGGGGAGCTTCGCCTCCGAGAGTAGATCGCCTCTTATGCTTTCGACCATTTGGGGATCCAGAAGCATCCGCTGTCGATTTTCTTAGACTCAGCGTTCTACCGTTTGTTGCATTCGATGGCGTCGTAGGAATGTAAGCACCTAGCGATTGCCTTCGACGGCCACGAATCGTCTCCGAAACAGACTCCATGATTGGCTCGCGGTCAAGGGAGCCTTCAAGATTGAATATGTTAGTTCGGAATGGTACCTGGCCGAGGCTCGCCGATGTCAGAGACTTCGTGCGAGCCTCGTTGTCCAGTGAATCGTGGCGTCGGGGGGGCTTGAACGTTTGTTCTTTGTCTCCGAACTGGGCTCTTGCTGGAACCGCAAACGCGTCGTTGTGTCGATCCCGCGGACTACCACCGTTTGATGCGTAAAATGCTTGGACTTTGTCGGATTCAAGGTCTACTCCATTCTCGCCAATGTTGCGGTCAGCAACATCTTCTCCGTAATCCCGAGCGCCCGATGCCTTCACTCGACTCTGAAATCCCGAAGGCTTGATCTCGGATTGTGCATCCAGCAGATCAATGAAGCCTCTGACTGCGGCTGTGCTTGTACTTTGCATGGAAAGGTGGCGGTTATGGGTGAAGGGAGCAGTTGGTGGGCGAAACGGATCTCCCTCGAACGGTATTGCTGTAGAGTTGCTGCTTCGTTTTGGAGCGGGAGATAGTCCCGATAGACCAGACGTCGTCGATGTAAGTGACCCGATTCGTGGTTTCCTGAACGACAAAGGCGGACCCCTCGATGAGTCTCTCCCCCAGCGGCCGGACGGAGACGGTGAAAAGCTGGGAGGTACAGCGCTGCCCGGCGCAGAACTCGGGCGCTCGACGCTGGAATCGCGGAATCGCAAGACGGGCGGTGCCGGGGCAGAAGCTTCGGAACCCGCTGCAAGAGACAAGTTGGTTTCGCTCATCTTATGATGAGACCGTTGAAGGTCCTCGAAGACATTGGTTGGTCCATTGCCGGCAACCGGGTAGGTACCTAGGGATTCATGTAAGTTTAGACTACGAAGTCGGGCTGAGTATTGGATCAATCCTACCTAGAAGCGGGGGAAGAGAAGCTGTCGTAGCATCGTATGCTTGCGCCTTGATACCGTTTGATGACTTGTCAGATGACCTTTTGGACGAGAAGAATTTCAAGAAGCCCATTGTCGCAGCCTTTCGCCCTCCATATGGCGACTACACGAGACGACTAGGATGCTGTGAACTGACAGCAGACTCAAGGTTGCTTCCGGTCGAAAGCGATGTTGAAGGCGAAATTCAAAGGCTGGAGGACAGTTGAGCACCGAGAGCGCGAGGCCTCATCGCATGTAGGATTGCGATGTGAAAAAAAACACTGGAACAGACGACGACGAGAAGAAGGAAGGGGGTACCAGGAGAAGGGGGAGAGGGAAGTCTAAAAGCCGAGCGGGTAGGCTGGATAGCATCAGATCCTAGAACCTAGGTGGACTAAAGGAAAAGGAAAGGAGGGACTATGCGACACGACGAGTCGTGTAAGGGTGCTAAGGCTGAAGTGCGTGCATATACATGACGGAGCGGAGCGAATGAGCAGAAAATAGTCTACGCTAGACCGTGTTTTGGGCCCAGGTCGAAGGCTTCGTGCAGTTAAACGATGCGATACCCATGTCCCCGAGCGTGGCTGCTCCGAGTTGCATGGTGTGATGGAGCACACACACCCGCGGGAGAGCCATGGTTTCCGTCAAAGGCCAAGCATCGAGACATTGAGATTTTTCCCCTTCTGAAGAGCCGGAATGTCCAAAGGCCAGATCACTGCCCACCCACAATTCGTCACATGAACGGGTGGCTACTTTCTGCCCATCTTAGAAGACGAAGTCTGTCTTCAATACACAACGTGTGAAGAGAAAGACTATACTTTAGAAAGCGTCGGAGATAACCAGAGTTCCAGGTTGCCTACTCTTGGGCGGAGCAGGGGAAGCTTCAATCAGATGCTGATTTCCACATGTCCGAATCATCTGTTTGTCTTGGAATACAAACAGGCTTCTGAGCGCCTCGAGGAATGGCGCAGGAGTGGCAAAGAAGCTTAGAACAGGCTTGTTGGTGTGGTGTGGTGGTGACAAGACTCGTTGCTCGGACGAAATGGCGCATCAAGGTTTCGAAAACAGGTAAGCAGAACGGATAGATGGTCGGATGGGAGGGAATGGGATGGACCGCGGCCCGTGCGAAAGTGACAACAAAGGTGTGAAGAGCACGAAACGGCTTACAAGCCTGTTTCATGGTCTAGTTCTCTGTAGTATCTCAAGACCTCCGGCCGTTGGTGTTGCTGTCCGGCTCGAGTGCAAGTGGATGAGGTCTCTCGTTCCCACGCTTCTCGGTGAACTTCTGCTGGGGCACCACGATTGCCAAACCGAAAGCTCAAGGCAATCCATCCATCAAAACAGCCTGATTGGTCTCGGCCTGTCGGTACCAAGGTATCGAAGTCGAGGTTGTGCCTGGGTTTCGAGGTTAATTGCTAACCTGGAGGATTGGAGGAGATTCCAGATCTTGATAGCTGTTGCAAGCGCAAACAAGCATGGATCTGTTCCAAAGGACGACGATGCGCCTCCACGATGCTGGTCACTCTGCCGATCCGAGAAAGAAGAAAACATGGCACTGGGTTCAGGGGTCAGACGTCGTAATTGATGCCACCTCGGAGAAAAAGCAATCGACGAGGGTTGGAAAGAAGCCCATTTGCCAGCTGCTTTTATTGGCAGCACCAGGTGACTGGTCTGAGGACTAGCCATCTTAGTGTGTCCCAGGAACAAAGTCAAAGAATTCCTGTTGGACAACGCCAGTCGGTAGCGTATGGCTTTGCTCCGTTGGTCTTGGAAAAACTGGACTTTGTCAAAGTGGGCACGACGTTTGGAATGCCTATCGAACCGAGTGGTCGTGGTCAACGGCGCAGACGGATGGATGTTTGTTCTTGGTAGTCGTGAGGTATTAGTCGTCGATCGGCAGTGGCATCAAAGCAGGCGTCGTCCCGCCAAACGGCGCGTATCGAACCATGTTGACGACACGTTTCTCCGCTCATCTGTTTTGAAGCGTCGTCTGCCTGCATCTTGCATTGTGTCCATCTTGCTTGCGTATTTTCCATGAGCGTGCCTGTGCATGGCCCTGGATTGATCATGGTTGAGGGTCCCCGGCCCCTGGTGTAGATGTGCGTGTGCGAGACATCTTTTCTGCGCCCCCTGCTGATTGGAGGCGGGCGGAAGCAGATCACTCAGGGATTCGCCCCTGGTGTTGTTCCTCGAATGTGTTGGCCGCGATTCGATGGAACTGAAATGACGCATCGAAAGTCAATTATCAACCTTGGAGGCTGGCGTGTGTGCCGCGTCAAATTGCTCCAAGCTGGCAAGCCCAACAAGTCATTGAGCATAAGGCAAGGCAAGGGAGTACGGCCGAGTCAACAAGATGTCATGCGTATGGTTGCTCAGGTCGCCACAATGCTGGAAAAGCATCGAGTCTCCGGCGCTAGCTGCGGTGTTGCTCAATGAATGCAGGGTCTGCCACCTCAGCACGGTGTGCGGTGTGCGGTGTGCGGTGTGAGGTTTGCTAGTCCCAGCTGAACGGACTGCGAACCAAGTTGCCCAGAACGACTCTATTCTGGGTGGTGGCGGGAAAATGGTATAATTTCGAGGCATTGCTTCGTGTGACGGATGTCGGAGACGTGAAAAATTCCTTCGATATTGGTAATTAATGGATCAATTGATGTTTGATGGAAATTCCGCCGTGTTACAGGAAAGAGTCGGCGAACCCCAAGGTACCCGTGAGTCGTGGCCCATCACTCTTGAGTCTGTGTCCGGGAAGTCAGGTACCGCGTCACACCTGCCACATAGTCTGCTTAGTCACTTGTGTTGGATTAGGTACTTTGTAGATGTTCTGGACGCCTCGCAGCTGCCGATATTTCTTTTCCGTTGCCAATCTTTGCTTCTCCCTTCTGTAAAGGACCATTTCCAAGAATCAACCGGAAACGAGATTGTGTGAGCATCATCACGTCAAAGCATCGACACGTCAACTTTTCAGCTGTGTCAGAGAATGTGACAGAAATCAGCCACTCTCAATGTTGCGGCCGGATGCATGATGGCGACGGACACCGCAGTGGGAAATGGCGATTGCCGGCAGCAATGCCGCAATCTGCTGCTTGGCTTCACAAACGAACGGAACCCGGCCCATCCTTCTTTTCTGTCTTCTCTCTCTAGGTCGGTGCGTGAGCGTCCCATTTGCGCTTTCCTTACACTGACAGGGTGAGCTGGGCACCATAACACGTTAATTTACCAAAGTTGCTCACCGGCGAACGGCAAGCGCCTCTATTCAGGGGGAGGCATCTAGTCCGTATCCGCAGAGTGGTGGATTGTTTGCTATACATGGGCAAGCTCTCAGCGTTTCATACCGCGCGATCTGGCTAGCCTTCTAGCGGCGATCGGCCACCACGTGGAACACGGTGGTTTCTATGGATCGTTCTATCCTAACTCTCCCAATTTGCTCCCGATATTACCATCATAGGCCTTTCAAGTCCAACTCGCGCTTTCAAGTGAGCGATAGCTTCAAAAATGCATCCAGAACTCCGAGGGGTTGCCGTTATGCAGCAGAGTGGTTCCAGAAGCGTTATACTGGAGCCCGTTCAGCTTGCTTCTCCATACCAACCTCAATCATGGTCTGATTTCCAGACTTACGGCCGCACCCAAACACAGGCGGGGTACCCCGTTCAGGGGAAAGGATCTTCCACCACCCCTCGCGTTCACAAATGAAGGGTCCAGGAAGAGGCAAGGCCAGCGACACTACCAGGACGCCATCACGCCGTCTGGTATGCCCATTCCTTTTGTGGGCGGGAGACCCGCAGTCCGGCGCAACTCTCCCAGATTCAAGCACGTCGGCCCCCGGCGCCGCTCGGACGGTGCACCGTGCTTCCCATTCGACGTCCGAACGTTGAACACTGCAGAACCCGAGGTCCGAGCGGGCATGTCAGACTGTGGATGGTGCTGGTGCTTAGGTGGTGCTGTTCCCGCGGTCCGTCCGACCTTTCGGGGCTTGGGGAGCCTCACAATCACAGAAGTCTTGCGCGGAGAAGCGAGAGAAACAAGCTTCCGGATGAAACCCACGTTGTTCGATCACTGCTGTTGCAGATACTATAGTACGAGATTCCAACCCCGAGAAACTGGATGAACTCTTTGAATCCTCGATATATGGCATAATGAATACGGTGGGAGCCGGAGTTGCCAAGAATGATTCAACTGCTGCAGACAAGTGTCGTGGCGCCGCCTCATCTCTCGCTGCCGGTGTCATCACACGCACTATACCCAATTCTTCAAAGACTACCTCCAAGTGCCTCAGGGGAAGTCAGTCTTGAGGTTATCATTGGGTACAGGTCTACACACCGTCAACTACCACTAGTCACTGGTTTGAGGCTTTCCCCGGAGTCTTATCAAGATGGCTTCCACGAGTAAACCAAGTCGGAGTGTCAATACTCAGAGGGGGCCTTCTATCCGTGACTAGCTCGAACACGAGGGGTCTTATGACATCTCGTAGGTTCCGGTTGCCGATCGCAAAGAGCATACTTCGATTCACTAAGTACTTAAGATTGACATTTCAGGTAAGCCTAAGTAAGCAGATCATGCAACGGTTACGGTGATTGGGCTGTGGACTTGATAATAATCTCAACATAAGTACTGTGACAAATTGAAGAGGGCAGAAATCTCCGTTGCGTATGGTACGTGATCGAACTGGCAGAGGCAAGAGACCTGTGACTCTACCTTTGCAATTCGCAGTTGCCTACCAGTGAGGTCGTGTAGGCACTTGATGGGAGAGAAAATGAGGGGAGGCGCCTTCTCTCTAGTTTTTGAGGCGTCTTCCAATGAAGGAGCGAGGCAACCCGGACCTTCCATGATGTAAATGAAGTCCAACGAGAAGGCACACACACCTTGGGATACCTCTTTGTGACTACTAACAACACGAAGCATCCTCGTTTAATACCATCTCCATCTTCATCGTACAATCACCACCTCTTAGCTCATGATAATTGCGATTCAAATCACCACACGCCTCACCTCCTCGGCATCTTCACCTTTGATTCCCTGATCACATAGTACCCCTCCGGAAGCTGTCCTAACAACTAGCTTGGCTGCCAGCATCCTGTCCTTGTCCCAACTATCCTCCAGGAACGATGCCAGACAACAACCAGCCCCAACAGCAGGCCGACACCAACCAGGGTTAGGTTCCCTTCTTCACCGAGCACGACGGCTCCCCCATCATCGAGGATACCAGAAAGAGCCCCCCGCTCAGTACCAAGTCTTCTCCTTCTTCCGCTTCTGACAAGCCCTTCGCCACGCCCAACGGGGATAATGCACTGCCCAAATACCTCACCTTGACTCATGATCTTCGTCATGCCGCGCAGGCGCAGGCACCAGAGACACCCAATGACCACAAATACGGAGAGCAGACGCCGAGAAACTGGCCTGATCTCGCTTCGGAGAGCATTCCACCGTCCGTCGGAGTCAAGTACTCTTCTACGTCAAAGGCAGTAGGGAAGGCAATGCCCACTACAACTGACAACCTCGCCGATTCTCACAGAAAGTCCAAGACGGAATTCAACTCGCTCCCTTCCGAGCTTCTTCACATGAGCCTGGGGCTTACCAGCGGGCCTGATACCGGAGCCCAGGCCCACAGAAAGTCGTCGACCGAGTTCAAGGAGGTTGTAGTAACGGAAGGCAAGTGCACTTTTCGCTATACATCGGTTTACCTAAGACTAACGTTGTCAATACAAATACCTAGACGCGGAAGATCAGTCAGATATGCGAGAGGATGTTGGCCCGCTCGACTTCGATCTCCAGGAGCCCGCCAACACTCCTTCTGAGGGACGCAGAGACGAAGATAGAAGGACGACCGGCCAGTTGTGGAGGAAGCCTGAGTCACGGGACTCAGCGCAGCTTTGGAAGTCAAATAGTCGGTAGAAGTAGGCGTCGGTAGACTGACTTTGATGGAGCGGTCCATGGTGGTGGACACGATCGTGGAAATACACCTATGTAACGAGTAGTCATTCCTCTAGTCATTCTTTGAACACAGCAAAAGCTGAAACTTTCATCCTCACATCTTCATTTCACTCCTCTAGATTGAACAGAGAATAATTGAACCACGCCCAACCTAAACGCCAAATAACATGCTATACCTGTTCCATCATCCAACCTCGACCTCTCAATCAAGAGACCCAGCCAACGCAACAGCACTAAACCGCAAATCCGCGCCCTCCCTCTCGAGGAACTTGCGCGGGCCCCACGTCAGCGCCTTCTCGCTCAACACATCCTCGCCGGACTCGAGCTGGCCGCGGTTCAACGGGCCCTTGCGCCGCCCGTCGAGCTCCCACAGCGTGCCGTCGTCGCCGCGCACGAAGCAGACGTAGTGCAGGTCCACATCGTCCGAGGCCTCGGGCGCCTCGGTCGCGCCCTGCGACGCGGCTTCGCGGTGCGCCGTGGCGAGGGCGGGCGTCTTCTCGAGGAGCTGGGCGCGGGAGGCGGGTTCGAGGGGTTCGGCTGTTTCGAGTAGGGTGTTGAGGTCGGATGGTTTCTCTGTTCATTCGTCAGAACCAACGTTGTATCACAACGAAGTAGCTTGTACAGGAAAGGCAGGAAAAGAAGGTATATGAAGAACGGCGTGACAGGAGGGTGATGGATACGTACGAATATACTCCCTCGCAGGCCCATTAGCAACAGCATGCAACAACCCCATGAGACCGCACGCATTCCTAATCGTCTGGCGGAACCACAAAACGGGCTCCTGCGGGCCTTTACCCTTGTACTCGTCCAGCAGGGCGTCCTCGGCCAGTCGATGGCTCTCGTAGGCGGCGCTGACGGGGAAGACGAGGAGGACGGCGAGGGCGGGGCGCGGGACGAAGGAGAGCATGTCCGGGTCGGTGAGGGAGTAGACGTCGTGGATCTGGAGGGCCGGGGAGAGGCCGAGCTTGTGGAGGAGGGAGGTCATGAGCTCCGGGTTGGCTTCGAGGGGGATGAAGGCCGGGGCTGCGGCGGAGGGGTCGGGGTTTGTGGATGTCATTCTGGAGGACTTGTGTTTTTGCTGTCTTGTTCCGCCCTGGTTATTTGGTTTTCAGTGTTGGTTTGTAACGTGTGGGTGTGGTTTGTGAAAGAGATTTGACAGAGTGTTGCGTTTGCTTGGGTGATGTAGGATGAAGGGCGCGGGCCAGTTGGAGTTGCTGAGAAGACAAGCAAGGTAGAGCTGCCATGTCACTTTGCCCCTCCAAAAGCAACTGGGATACATGGTGGGGTCGGTGAGGTAACCGGCAGGGGTCGCCTGCGGTGAGCCCAGAATGCGGGGTGGTCAGTTTGGAGCTTGGGGTAGAGCGACGCCAGCCAAGGACTTTCTTATATTCAGAGTTTGACCACCTGCGAATGGTACAGTTCCTCTTTAAGATGTGTGGAGGGTATTTTCAGAATCCTATGATATCTATATTATATCTTCTTCTGGATTATATCCTGTTCCTACTCCTTTCGTGATGTCTGTGTTATAGTATACAAGGCCCCAACCAAGCCTCCTTACTCATGCCTTTCGATATGCTTTGCCTGTGCCACCAGACAGAATATTGTACAAGTGAGTGTAGCTACAAGACTACATTGTTTTACATAAGCCGAAGCTCCCAAAGCTCCTTTTCAGCCTCCAGTCTGAGACTGTCCTATTAGACGGCAGACTCTTCTTTCGGCTTCTCCTCCTTGTCTTTCAGCCCGGTCTCATAATCACTCTCATCCACCACCAGAGGCTCATCGAGCCCCGCAGAGCTCTGGTCAAAAACGATAGAGTCGTCCTCGGAAGGCGCGAGACCAGCGAGCTTCTCTGCACTACTTTCGTCTTCCTCTTCTTGGAGTCTGCGTAGCTCCACCTCCATTTCCGCCTTCATATCCTTGGCCCTCGCCTCCCTGCGTCGCTTCTCACGAACCTTGGTGTGTACCTCAGGGTCGAAGACGGCGTTGTTCTCGAGGTAGAACTCAATCTTCTCCTCGACGGCGTCCTTGACGTGGAACGCGAGCGCCTGACTCGTGAAGATGTTGGGGAAGCGGTAGCTCACCCACAAGTACAAGGTGATGGCCGCGTGCAGGGACTCGATGGCGTGAAGGTACCGCCTTCCCTGATTGTTGAAGTCTTCGAGCGTGGCGTCAAGCAGCTCCAGCTGGATGGGCTGGATATCGTATAGAGCGCCGTTGCTCCTCGTCGAGATGCACTTGGCAATGGCCTTGAGAAGGTCCATCTGTCCCTGCTCCCGAAGTGAGATTGGCGCGTGAAGAACGGTGATGCGGTCCTGAATCGTCAAGGGGAACTCCTGGATGGTGTCTGCGATCTTGGCGCTGATTTCAGGAACATAAACCGTGAAGCGCTCCGAGACGGGCGCGAGTTCGCGCAATCGCAAGAGGATAAAGCTGAGAGGCGTATCGGGAGGGAAGTATTCGGCGAACTGCTCGATAATGTGCGATGGGGGGTGAATACCTGCAGCCTCGAGCGGTGCCGTTTCAGTGTTGAACCCCTTTGCAATCGCGGGCAGATCCTCGTCAGCAAGCGTTGTGACGTAGCCAACCTTCCTCTCTTCAACTTGGGTGGCTTTATCACTCGTTGTAGTAGCTGCCTGCCGAGCAGTCTTGTATCTTCCTGCTCTGCCACCAATTTGTTTGATTTCGGATGTCGTCAGCGTACGATACTGTGTACCGTCGTGCTTCATTGACGTCTCAAAGATGACGCGTTTGATCTCCAGGTTTAGGCCCATGCCGATGGCATCGCTAGCCACCAAGAAATCGTAGTCATTGTTGGGATCGTTGAACAGAGCTGCCTGCTGCGCACGGGTCTCAGGTGGCAGTGAACCGTAGACAATAGCGCATCGACGGCCGGTTGTCTCCTCGATGGCGTTCTTCAGACCGTGAAGGTTGACACGCGTGAAAGCCACAACGGCATCGCCCTTTTCCAGATTGGAAAGATCGTTGCCGAGACTCTTCTCCATCGTTTGCAACGGACTGAGTCTTTCATACCGATGAACAATGCACTTATCGCCGATACTTGAGCAGATGGACTTGATGAGGTCGACAACTCGTTCTTCGCCACAGAGATGGACTTCTTTCGCCATGACGCCGAGGAGTGCCTGAGTCCACGCCCACCCTCGCTCATCATGACCAATCATCTGAATCTCGTCTATAACCGCCACATCAACAATTCGATTCAGAGGCGTCATCTCGACGGTGCAGCTGATGAAGTAATTATCGGCGTCCGGTATGCGCTGCTCCTCGCCTGTGACCATGGCGCAAGGCTTCCCGTTGGCCTGGAACCGAGAGTAGATCTCGTGGGCCAGGAGACGAAGAGGCCCTCCGTAAATACCGGACTTGGAGTTCATCAGAGCCTGCAACGCCCGATATGTCTTTCCAGAGTTCGTCGGTCCGACGTGCAAGTGAATTGTACGCTGCATGGCTCGTGTGGCGGGAAACCACTCCATGGGATACCGCAAATCAGCCAACTTCCTCTGCCGCGCCGTCGAGTGTGTCAATTTCGATCGCAGCATGAAGCTCTGGAACGAGTATCGCAGCTCTGCCGTCAGGCCCTTGACGTCGCCACGGATGAAGGCGTTTCGTAGGGACCAGAACAACGGGTTCTCCTTGCGTAATGTTGCACCCTTGTTGGCCAAGCCGATGGCTTTTTGTATGGTGTCGCGGAATAGGGCGATTTCGTTATTGAGGCCATACTCGCTTCGAACCCCAAAGTTTCGGTACTCGGTATTGGTCTCTGACCAACGTCCCATGTTGTCAATGACGACGTTGAACTGAGTGAGAATCATGTTCCTGAAGACGTCGTATTTGGATGTTTTGCGGTCGGGAGGTGAGTATTTCCTGGTAGAATACCTTCCAAGTGTCGCCTGCAAATTACAATGGTCAGAATTTGTCCGGTAAGTAGAATAGGGAGGCAGAAGCTGCCGCGTACCTGGTAGGCGGACGGAGAGGATGTTGCGAAGCCATGGCCTGGCGCAAGACGTGTCGCCGCTGCGCAGAGCTTCGTGGCTCGCAAAACTGATCTCATGGTGGGCGAATTGCTGCACAACAAACCATGGCTAATAACATGCAAACAGCATGCTTGTTTGGGTACGTCAATGACAAGATCGTCTACGTGCTACCCTCCGTTCGCAGTCGTGCACCTATGCAGTGGGAGGAGCATGGTGGTCACTGACTTCCATGAAGGCACTGGGAAATTTTGGGAACCGATAAGAGGTCTGGAATGCTTATCGCCATGACCCCTGATTCGCCCTTGGCAGGTGAACGTGGGTCGCCCCACTCCGACTTAGCGCCTCCGCCTCCGATTGCACCGTCCTCGTCGTCATCACGCATCCAGATCCCCAGGTCCCCAGGTTCCCACATTGCATTCTGCGACAGCGCCCATCACGCCGACTTCCGACTCGTCTACACTACCTACGAACGTACGCAACCCGCCGTCGCATCTCGAATATCGTTGCCTATTCCCCCTTCGGTGTATTGAAAAGGAATCGAAAGCATCTCAAGATAGGCCCCTTAGATCCTTTGGACACCCCAATACCTATCATCATGGCTTCTTCATCGACGCCTATCACCCCGTTGCTCTAGTAAGAAGACGGCCACGACCTTTCCCTCCCGGCTCAAATCTCCCCCCTCTGTTGGACACATTACTGACATGCCGTTGTCCTATAGCTCGTGCATAGCGCACAACAACACCATCCTCAGCGAATGCACCACATCGGCCGTATCGCAAACCTCTTCCCTCGCCTCCGTCATCCTCCCCAAAATCGAGCACAACACCCCCCAGAAGCTGACCTACACCCACGGCTCGCACCACATCCACTACATCGCCGAGGCGCCCTCTGATCACCCAGACCACCCCTCCGCCGGCGGCCTCACCTTCCTCGTCATCGCCGACGCCTCGCTGGGCCGCCGTATCCCCTTTGGTTTCCTCTTTGAGATCCGCCGCCGCTTCCTCGAGCAGTTCCCCGCCGAGACGACCGATTACGCCGAGCTGCCCAACTACGGCGCCGCCAGCTACAATGGCCAGCTCAAGAAGTTCATGGTCGACTTCGGCACCACGAGCGGCGGCAAGGACGACGCAATCTCCAACGTCCAGCGCGAGATCGACGATGTCCGGGGCATCATGACGCGCAATATCGAGGGCTTGCTCGAGAGGGGCGAGCGCATCGACTTGCTCGTCGACAAGACGGACCGTCTCGGCGGCAGCGCGCGCGAGTTCCGCGTCCGCAGCCGCGGTCTCAAGAGAAAGATGTGGTGGAAGAACGTCAAGCTGATGGCGCTCCTCACGCTGGTCGTGGTGCTCATCGTACTCGCCATTGTGATTGCGGTGAAGAACTAAAAGCAAGCAGGACAACTGTTTTCGCCTGGTTCTAGGTTTGGAGGGTTTGGCTTCGAATTGGCTTCGTGTAGCGGGCACGGGGCTATGTACACATGAACGCGACGTGTTTCGATGGTGTAGAGTGCTGCTAGTCAAATTGGGCAAATGGTTTGGCTTGAAATGGCGAAACGGGAAACGCAACTTTTTTTGGGAAACAAAACGACGGAGGCTTTTAATTTTCGTTATGAAGAAACCCTCGATGGGGTTACACTCAACCACACATCTCCTAAACTGTCACTTGTGGGTTCAGGAACCACATCGAAATACAAGTAAATTAATCAATTCATTTCCACTCACCACTCGTGTATGCAAGTGCTTAGAACGCGGCACAGCGGCCCTTCTCTGAAGATGGATCCAGTATATCTTGAGTATATGATAATGGTAATGAGATAATGATTAGGAGGGTTGAGTAATCCTGTTGAGCTTCTATCATTTGAGCCGAACAATTTCAATGTACTGGGTAGCACATCCGAAGCCGAATATAAATCGGCAAGACAAAATCAGAAATGGTCCCACCAGAAATTTACAAAGAAGCGGCACGAGAGATAGATAATTCCAGGCAGTTCATGACCAGACATCCATAGCCCATTCAAAGCCAAATCTTATCGATCCATATTCCATGCCGATGCTCTCTAGTATGTACACTTCTGTCCTAGAGAGGCCAGTATAACCTAGTGGTACCTGATACACCACATCCCTTGAGCTTCACTGCACCTTTTGCCTTGTCTGTCCTCCCTTCGTTTCTTTTCTGGGCATTGCGTACTATCCTAGATGGATGTCTAGTCAGTTCAGACAACTTGAACTTCTCAGGGACCTCGTAATTCTCCTGCTCATCAGTCATGTCTTGAACACACAAGAGTCGCTGACTCTCGAGCATTACAGCTCTCAATCAACCACTCCGTAATCCTCCTGACTGCTCTTCCTTTCCCCCAATACTTTAAGACAGGTGATAGCCACCCTACGTAGGTAGCGCCCATCAGCTTTACGCGAGAAGCCATGATAAATGAAATTTGACCCAAGGAAATGAACAAGTCTGAAGTGGCATGAGGGTATTCGCCATCTATCAGACTGAACAGAAGCCGCCTCTAGCAGCCTCTCCTCCAAAGCACCTATTCACCTCGTCGGCTTCGGCAAAGACTAGGTATTCAACTACACCAGCCTCACAAAACTGACATTACTGCTCTCCCCCACGAAGCTTCGATAAGCATTGCTCGTCCAACTGAGAGTTGGAAAAAAAAAAAAATGTGTAAAACTTGAATCACACTCAATCCCACTCCCATCACAGCTTCGGCGCAGAATTTCCCTCGGCTGCCAGCCTCCTTCGCCCATCCTGATAGACATAGCCGTGCGCTACGGGACTGAGGACCATGCCAGGCGCCAGGGTGACTGGCGGCCGGCGCAGCTTCTCCGTGAAGAAGACGGGATGCCGAATTGATGAGTTATGCTGCTGCTGGTGCTGTTGATGCTGCTGATGATAATGCTGCCGCTGCGCAATTCCTGTCTCAGCGACGGCGTGATGCCGAGGTAGTGATGTCGCGGCTGTTGCGGTGTGATGCGCCATGCCTAATGACGTCGCGGCGTTGGACATTGTATCTGCCGAGTAGCTCAAAAAAGAATTATGTGTGACTTGTCCTTCAAATGGTTCGAAAACAGGAGGCTGTTAAAGCTTCACTTCAAGGTCGGCATCTCTTACAGGAGCGTATGTTGATTTGAGATTCTGTCGTCATGTTATTCCTTGCGGGGAAAGATTACACACGCGCAACTACCCCCCCCCCCCCCGGCTCGCCGAGCTCCAAGTCTTGGGGTAGTAATGGCACCCGAGGCCACGGCACTTGCACGGTGAAGGGTGGGGGCGGGCCCCCCGGACTTTTGGAGCTCAACGGTGAGAAAGAGTCCGAGTCCCAAAGGCTCCTACCACCCAGCTTTCATCCGGGAAAACCTCCTTCCTTAACCCGATGGTAAGGTATATAGCCCCCTTCCAATCCCATTCCTGTCACCAGAACATCAGCGCCCGTCTAGGTCGGCGATATCAGGTCAAGCTGTGTGCGAGGTGGTCGGATTGGTTAAGATTAACATATATATTAAGTCAGAGTTCGGGTTGACTGAGGGGCGGGCTGTTCGAGTCCGGCCAGGGGCGTGAATTATAAGACCAGTATTCCTCCTTCTTCCTTTCCTATTGGATTTTGGTCTAACATAAATCCAATAGTCAATACTTTATAAAGCCAGAGTAAGTTAATGTTCCCGGGAAAGATGCATGTAGCGTTCGTGCAAGTAACTGTGTTAGCAGCCACTTGCTTTCTCATTAAGTAGGTAATCTATATAGATGGCATCCAAACGCCTCCAAGGCTTTTATGATGTCTCCTTCTTGGACTTCTTTTTACTCTTTGCCTTTTGCGACTCCTTGCCCTTCTTGATAGCCTCAACTAGAGACTCAACCTCCTTCACCTTCTCCGCCTCCTTGGCCTCCTTGGCCCTTTCCTCCTCCATCTTCTTCTCCAGCGCCCTGAGAGCAGCCGAGTCCTTTTCCGTCGTCTCAATGAGCTTATCGCTCTCCTCCCACAGCTTCTTGGCCACCTCGTCGTCCTCAATCTCTGTCCGCGCAAAGTCCACGATCCGGCACTCCTTGATCAGCTTGCCGGCGCCCGCGCGCACGAGACTAGACTCCATGGCCGCGTACAGGATCGCCTGCGCGCCCTGCTCCGGGCTCTTGAGGAAGAGCCACGGCAGCGGGTAGGCGGCAATGTAGGCGAACAGGCCGAGCAGCGAGCCCCGCGAAAGCCAGCGACGCATGCCCGGCGTGCGGCTGAAGCCCGGGTCGACGAAGAAGACGCGCGCGTTCATGGGCAGCTGGTCGGGCCGCTTGTAGTTGTCGAGGTGCTTCTGGAAGGCCTGGCCGAAGACCATGAGCGCCAGCTTGCTGCGCTTGTAGGCCGTACCTGGCGACCACGTCTTCTTGTCGAGGGGTTCCTTGAGGGACGGGGAGCCGATGTAGGAAGAGCACGAGGCGAAGATGATGCGCACGTCGCGGTCCCAGGGCTGGGCCTTGATGGCGGGGCTGAGGATGGAGAGCAGGTGGAAGTTGGCGAGGTAGTTGACCATCCACGTCTCCTCTATGCCCTCGACCGTCTCCTTACGCTTAGCCGACGCCGGGGTGATTGTAGCAGCGGCGAGGATAATCATGTCGAGCCGGCGCGGCGGGGAGTTGTCGATCCACTTCGTCGCAAACTTTCGGATGCTGTGCAGGGACGAGAGGTCGACATGCTCGGCGTAGATGAGCTCGTTGCCGGTCCGGGCGCGCACGTCGCCAATGTACTCGACCAGGAAGGGGTCCGACACGGGGGTGTGCGTGAGGAGGATGATTTGTGCGCCGCGGCTGCCGAGCTCTAGCACCGTCGTCGCTCCTATGCCCGACGTCCCGCCCGTTATCATGACTACCCTCCCGTGCATGTCTCGCTCGGCCGTGTTGGAAGCACCCGAGCTCCATAGCTTGATGAAGACGAGGACCGCTACCGCCGCGGCGGTCTTGAGTATGAACCACCAGTTCTCCGTGACATATGTCGGGAGGCCGGCTTCGGCGATGTAGCCAAAGTAATCGAGAGGCATTGCGAGCGAGTCACTGGGTTAAAGCTGGAGAAAAGGCGTGTTAGGGCGACTGTCGAGCATGCTGGGGTAGCAATGCTTCGAAGGCGTATTCGTATGGGGGGACGACTCGGGCTCGTTGCAGTGTCGCGTACGAGGTCGTTGAGAAAGCAGGCCGGTCGATGTGGGCGTTTGCCTTTGCGTGCGTACGAAATATGCGTAAGTTGTTCGAGTGTGTGACGAAGCCGCCAGCTTGCCTTCTAGAACAGAGGTAGAAAGCTGATGTGCCGCCAGGGGATTTCCGAATTGCGATGACAGGGGCGGTCCCACTCTGGCGGCAGCCCAGCGGCGGTGGCTTCCAGAATCCAGGGGCACTAATCGCAGAGTTTGCAGGGGATTGAGGCCGCCGCTGGCTGCCTCGCTGACATAATGGGGTTGGTCTCGCCCCCTTGTCGAAGAAGTGGAACTTCTTCATCAACCGTTCCCCCATCACCCTGCCCCTTCATCTCACCATATCATTGCACTAGCAGACGGCAACACTCGACATAACCCGAGTTCTCCTCCACGAGTGCACTTGCTGAGGAACAGGTGGTGGCAAGTGTGCTGTGCAAGTATTGCCGAAATGCGGCGACGGGTGGAAGACGACGAGGACTATGAAGAGGAAGAGGACGTACCGCTTCAACATCGACGACCCTTTGGCGCGGGAATCAGCCGCAAGCCCATCCAGTTCGTCAAGGCATCAGATCCAAACCTGAGTACGACACAGGCGGCCAATAAAACAAAAAGCGGCGCTTCCGTTGGCGACTTTTACCTCAGCCTCGTGCTCGGTGACAAGAAGCAAGCGGAAGCCGAAAAGCCTTCGCGAGCAGCAGGGCAAGTATGCGCCGTGTGCGAGTTGCCCGTGGATAAAGACGACGCCGTGGGAGAGGTCGGCAATGACAATAACAAGCCCACGACAAGTAGACAAAAGCAGCATGAGTCTTCGATTGCTCACCAAGTCTGCCTCACACACTCACATCCCCCATCAGCACTAGATCGGTCGCGCATGGGCTTGACATATCTTTCATCCCATGGCTGGGACCCTGATTCACGCAAGGGGCTCGGTGCTGAAGAGCAAGGCATGCAGTATCCCCTGAAGACTCGACCAAAGGAGGACAAATACGGTTTGGGTCTCAAGATCCCAAAAGGCATCCAGGGAAGAATTGAAAAGAAGAAGCCGCAGATGCTGGATGCGAAGCAATGCAGAAAGAAGGCCGATGAAGACAAGAGAAAGGCTGAGAGGTTGCGAGAGATGTTTTACGCCAGCGAAGACATTGACAAATACCTGGGGACCGGTTTATAAGGGGATAGGAGTCATGAGAAGCAATGAGATACCCATAATGGAGGACGAATAACGAAACTTGAGCCTAACAAAATCCGTTTTAATTTACAGATATACGGTCTTGAACCTTGATCAAGTGAATTCGCCTTGTACAACTATTACAAGACTTCCATATACTGCCAAATTACCGCAGTTCACACTCGTAATATCCAAAAACGGCCATCACAAAGAATAATGGCTTGGCCATGGAGTGGAATAGGTAAAGCTGACGAAGAGACGGGTAAGAGATTGGCTTTGAAACACACAAGGGATTGTCTTGAGCAAACAACCATCATCCTTGCGACGGGGAGGCTACGAGAATATCTCCCGCCGTGCCGCCGCCGCATCTTCAAAAAGCGCCGCCGTTGTGAGGTGCAGGTGCGAACCTGGAAGGCGGTGACCTCATTCATCGCTCCTTTGGGGGCCGAAAGTGGGGGAATGCCGCTGCACTACCTACCTTACTGTGTATGTAAGGTAGGTATGGCACTAGGCTAAGTACCTCCAAGTACCTGTCCTAAGGTGCTGGGCAGTATCCGTACCAGGATTTGTGTTGCATAGCATTTTGGGCGAGGGGTCAGACCAGTTCCAATGGGGAGTCCAGGACTACGGAGTACCTTACGGCCCTGCTTGCCCGGGCCCCGCCCCCCCTCCTGGGCCTCAACTTGAAGCGCGGGCGGGAGTACTGAGGAAAGTAGCGGTGCGGTGCGCAGTGGAACGGGAAATGGAACCAGAAATGGAACTGGGAACGGGGACTGGGACGTGGAACTACCTGCCTCTCCCGTTCTTCTACCTCTGTCTTTCCAAGCCTTGAACCTGCTGGCCTTTTGACTTCCAGTCGCACCAGGTCATTGCGTTTACCTTCTTCCGGTCAACCTCGACGATAGACCAGATAACTCACGTTTCCCACTGCAGACATCCCTCTACTACATAGTAACACAGCTCCTAGTGCTGTGCGAGCTCGACCAATCTTGCCTCTTCCGATCGTAACTCCTCCAACTCACCTCACCCACCCACCTCACCTGCCACTACCACCACCACCACCATAATACCACGACAAAGCTGTCTGACCGCATAGGAACGTACCCTGCCAGACCTTGCCTTGCTTCCTTTCCCCCTTCCCCAAGCTCCGGTTTGGGTCTTCGGAGCATTGAAAGTCCCACAACTGCGACCGGTCCTTCGTTCATCTTGAAACCCCGCCAGACCCAGACAACCACGACAACGAAGCCCAAGACAACAACCACCAATCTCCCAGCTAAACATACATACCTGGTGGCTCTCGAATTCCACCCGACGTCTCATTCTCCAGGACCTGGGCCCCACGATTCATAAAGCTCGACAACGCGCATTCCTCCAGCCTTGTCCGCCTTTCTTTACTTCGCTGCCACGCTATCTGTGCAGCACCTCAATTTACACAGGCGCACCCGCCCACCGTCGTCGCTCGATCACAGTCGCCGTCCGACAACCTTCTACCTCAGAGCGACAAATTCCGCTTCCCTTACACGACGCATTGCCAGTTGTCCGCTGCCCACGCGGCAACTTGCCACGATGGGTGTCTCCACGCTCCAGGAGCAGCATGACGGTGAGCTGGCTCAAAGCCCGAGAGCCCACGATGCTCTGCAAGCCTCTTCCGCTCTCGATACTGACAATTTGGACAGTCATCATCGACACAATCAAGAACATTACACGAGGCGACGTGAGATCCACCCGATACCTGGCGAGCTGCCTGCGAGTCAACAAGCTAACCATGACGAAACCCACAGTGGAAAGTCTTAGTTGTTGACGACGACTCCCACAAGATTATAGACAACGTTGTCAAGGAAGATGACATTCTTAACAACAATATCGCCAGTATGTCGCGCGACCACGTTTCCTCCTTGCAACGGTACAAGTCCTAACCACCCTCTAGACATCGAGCGAATCGAGCAGAAGCGAGATATGAATCCTGAAATGGACGCCATCTACATTCTGTCCCCGAAAGAGAATATCGTCGAAATCCTTATCAACGACTTTGAGCGCCGCAGATACAAGGAAGCGTACCTGGTGTGGACCGGTGTCTTGGATCCGAGGATCCGTCGCATGATTGATGGCTGTCCGCCGGCCAAGCAACGCATCGCAGGGTTCGAAACCTTGTCGATCGATTTCTTCCCTCGGGAGTCGCATTTGATCACCTTCAAAGACCCTTGGAGCTTTCCAATTCTTTACCACCCCGCGTGCAACAATTTGGTGGCGCGACACATGAAGATTCTAGCACAGAAGGTTCGTAACAGACAGATGGCAGGCTACACAACTTGCCTTGCTGACGAGCAGATCAGATCACCGGCGTGTGCGTTACACTTGGCGAGTACCCAAAAGTCCGATACTACAGACCGAAGAGCCCGCTCCATGAAGCCGCCGTGCTTGCCTCTCATCTAGCTCGTTTCGTGCAGGAGGAGTTGGACGAATATGCACAGTGGAACCCAAACTTTCCACCACAGTCGTCGCGGCCCGTGGGAACGCTCGTCATCACGGACAGATCAATGGATATCTTGGCGCCTCTGGTTCACGAGTTCACATATCAGGCAATGGCCCACGACCTTCTCCCGATACAAGATGGGGACAAGGTGACGTATCGCATGGTCACAAACGAGGGCACCGCACAAGAGGAAGAGAAAGACGTGGAGCTATCTGACAAGGATCCGGTCTGGGTCGACAACCGACACCGACACATGAAAGATACTATTGATAAACTAATGGGAGACTTCCGGAAGTTCTTGGAGTCTAACCCTAATTTCACCAACGAGGAGCAGGAGACGACGAGCTTGAACGCCATCAGAGACATGCTGGCTGGTTTGCCGCAGTTCCAAGAGATGAAGGAGGCGTACTCGCTTCATCTGAGTCTGGCGCAAGAAGCCATGAACAAATTTCAAGATCACAAGCTGCCAGACATTGCTTCGGTAGAGCAGACTCTTGCCACAGGATTGGACGAGGACTTCAGGAAGCCTAAAAACATATTGGACCAAGTCGTGCGGCTTCTGGACGACGACGCCATCACCCCATCAGACAGATTGCGTCTGATCATTCTCTACGTGCTGTATAGAGACGGTGTTGTGATGGAGGATATCAACCGGTTGCTCGCGCATTCGGGCCTGCCGCAAGGAGACGGGGAAATAGTAGTCAACCTCGAGATGCTGGGCGGACACCCGGTGCGTGGTGGCCTAAAAGACGTTCGACCTCCTCAACCACCCCTGTTCCAAAAGAACACCAAAGCAGCAGAGATCAGCGAGGAATACTCGCTATCACGTTTCGAGACGGCTATGCAGACGATGCTTGATGAACTCTGCCGAGGCACTCTCGATCAAACCACATTCCCTTACGTGAAGCCACCAGCTGATCCCAACGAGGACCTCTTGGCCTCACAACAAGGCTCATTGCGTGCCGGTAGGCCGAATTGGGCATCATCTGGCCGACGACCACCTGAAAATCGACAGCGCTTTATTGTTTTCATGGCTGGTGGCGCAACATACAGCGAGAGCCGTGCTTGCTACGACGTTTCCGCCCGCCAAGGCAAGGACATCTTCCTGGTGACGAGCCACATGCTCACACCTCAACTTTACGTCCGCCAAGTAGGCGATTTGGGCAAGGACAAGCGCACGCTCGACATACCAATGGAGCGACCGACACCGCGTGCTCCTGCGTGGGTTTATGAGAAGCCTGCCCCTCCGCCCAACCCTATGGCGCAACGCCCTGCCCCCGGTATGGCACCGCCGGGCGCACCGTCACCGGCGGGTGGACCACGCAGAGCACCTGCGCCAGGTGGTTTACCTGGGCGTCCCGCCGCGCCGCCAACGGCTCAGATGAGCAATATGAACCTCAACGCGCCTCTTCCGCCCCTGGCGAATGGCGGCGGAGCGTCACCTGCCCCGTCTGACGGCGGCAAACCGCAAAAGCTGGAGAAGGATAAGAAGAAGCGCAACTTTTTGGGTATGAAGAAGAGCCACAAGGACAAGGATAAGCACTGAGTTGAAAGGCGTAAATGGAAGGGAGATGCGGAAATTTTGGCTCTCGAATGGATTTTTACCCATCTCACTGTCAGCTTTCCTTAAACCCCCCCCCCCCTTTTCTTGCACATTCTGTTGCCAGCGTGGCGTTCTTTGGTGTTGAATCAGGGGCGGGTGCAACAATTCCCATAAATGGCCTCTTCTTGGCTTTCCCTCTTCTTACCTCTCCGTGGGTTTTGCATACGATGTGGAGGAGGGAGAGAAGGAAGATGCAGGCGGGAAAGGGGTGAGGGCAGTTGGCTGACTGAGCCGGATGGTCTGTGTATATATGTACTCTGGATCTATCGTGGAACCAAATCACACAAAACTCGACAAGTATCATCGACAGATCTTTCTCGCGTATTCCAATTGACAGAAACCGACTCGTGCATTATGATAATATCGTTGATGGAGTGAAAGGCTGGCTCTTTCTCATGAAGACAATTGACATGATTGACCGTTCAAGCAATCATCAGGGAATGCACAAATCACATTATCATACTTCACCATGGTAGCAAGGCACAGCTTTTTGGAAGCCAGGAAGACCAACATCCATTTCATTTCATTCGTGTCCACCGCGGTAGACTAAAGGTAACATGAGGGATATCCTATCCCACCCCCCACCCCCCTTCCTCAGAAACTCGCCAACCTTGTTTTCTGCTCTTGATTGTACCATCGCCTAGAACCCTTGTCTTCTGAGAGGACCTAGAGCCCTTCCGTTGTGGGCCTGAGCCAAAACAAAGATGTCTGCTTAGTTGTGGGTTCCCTCCGCTCATAAGCATAGGAAACGTATCGCATAAGCATGTAACCTCGTCGAGGTAGTTGAGGCGGTGCCTCGCCTACGCGAAGCTGATAGACTGGGCTCCTCCCACATTTGAGGAGAAACCTAGTATTCGAGGATGAGTGATTGGGTACTAGTTCAGCAAATCCGACAAGCAACATGTCGTTATACCGGCATTTACGTTTATGGTGTTTCATAACATGCCCTTTTCAAAGACACACATCTGAACATTTGGTGATGAGACTCGAACAAGGTAAATGTAGCAGTAGAAATGCTACGGAAGTATAGCCTCTACTAAAGAGGCCGATGGTAGTTCCATGATGTGGGTAGTTTACTGTCTCCGGAACGCCTGAGCGGCGCCAGGAGGCATGCGTCCGTCAAAGGGGAAGCCATGACCTTCGGGTCCGCCCGGACCAGGGAAGCCAGGCATTCCGGGAGGAGGGATAAATCCCGGAGGCGGTCCACCGAAGAAACCCGGGGGAGGAGGCATGTTGCGTGGCGGGGGACCTGCCATGGCCTCAGGGGGAGGGAAGGCTCCGGGAGGGAAGTTCGGGGGGAACATAGCGGCCATTGGGTGATTGCGGCCAGGACCACCAGCGAGACCAGGAGGCGGAATGATGGATCTCTGCTGAGGGGGCATGGGAGGACCGCCGCCACCCTGCTGAATCCAGTTGGGGTTCATTTGGTCCAAACCGGGAGGCGGGGGAGGACGTTGCAAAATCTGCGTGGGTTGCATGCGCGCTTCTGGCTCAGGGTGGTGGAAACCCTCATCCATAAAGCCAGGCGGGCCTTGGCCACGCAGTTGGCGCTGAGAACCACGGCCGCCCTGCGGAAGTCCCTGCTGGAAGTCGGGTTCGCGGTCTGGAGCATGCGGGATCTGAGCGGCGCGCTGGGGTTGCGGCATGCGCATGAGGAGTTGCTGTTCCGTTCGTGGGGGCTCGGGCTGGTTCCTCATCAAGTTCATCAAGAACTCGGTGTTGCTCATGTTGCGGCCTTGGTTTGGTTCCATTCGGCCGGACCCCTGGCTTGAAGCCTGGTGGCGTTGTCCAACTAGCTCTTGGAGCAGTTGGTCTTGACGAGCAGCAGGCGGCTGCTGCTGGTGAGGCATCGTTGGACGCGGGGCAAGAATATCTGACATGGACATGGATCCCTGCGGCATGCGAGGGCGGGGGTCCTCTCGGCGCTCGCCGCCATACTGTTGGAATGGCTCGGGCGACGCGACGGAGCTGGAAGGAGCATGCTCGCGAGCAGGCGGGGGAGGTTCCTGGAATGGTTGCGAAGCAGGCGGCGTGGCTGATTGAAGATTTGAACGCTGCAGCTTCATGAGCAATGCTTGGAAAGCTTGCTTCTCATTGTCGGGAGCCGGCCCAGATAGATCAGGGCCACCGAAAGGAAGGCCTGCCATGGGTGTTGAAGGCTCCGTCTTCATTCGTTGGGTGGGGTCATCTTGAGGGGCATTGAAGAATGAGGTAAACCGAGAGGACTTGCCACCGCCTGTCTTAGACTTGGAAGGAGTCTCTCTCTTGGGCTCGCTCGGTGAGCTGACGTCCAAGCCAGCAGTAGAAGCGAACTTGAGGAAGAATTGGTCGGGGCCAATCTCCACAGCGGGTGCGGAAGCAACAGCTGGCTGCTCGCCTTTGATTGCAGCCTCGACTGCGGCAGCTGGCGTCTTGTCCTCGGCAGGACCGTTGCGACTCGCCTTCATACTTTCCATGAATTTCTTGAAATCCTCTTCGGTATGGCCTCCTGCCTTTTCTCCGGCAGGTTCATCGAACCATTCGGGCTCTCGCTCCTGTCTATGTTCGCCGCGCTCCCAGCGACGCTCATAGTTCCTGCCAGTGCTCTTTTCTTCGACGGGCTCAGCCTCCCGGTTCCGGTCTCTCCAGCTCTTGGCCCGGTCAATGCGCTCGCGAGCCGTCAACGGAGGCTTCTCAGGAGTGTTGGCACTGTTGGTATTGTTACTGGCGGTGCTGTTGTCATTCTTGAACCAGGGCTCCGACTTGCCCCTGCTAAGGCCATTGCGGGGCCGCGGCTCAGCTTCCTCGTGGTCATGCTCCTTGTCGTGATGGTCGAAGGTGCGGTGGGTACGGTCTCTAGGGCCCTCACGGTCGTCGCGATCACGGGGGCGGCGCTCATTGGGAAGCCTATCACCACCACCAGCGCCCATGCGACCTTGAAAGCGCTCGGCGCCCTCGTGCCCGAAGCTCTTGCGCGGCTTCACTGTACTCCATCCCTCCTGATCCTGTGGGTCACCGTCGCCGCGACGACGACCAAAGTTTGTGTTTCTCGAATCGCGGAAGCGGTCGCCTTCTGGGGTGTCACCATTGCGATTGCGGAAATTAAAGCGACTGGGCGAGTCAGCGTCCTTGAGGCCCTTGTCATTGTCAAAAGGTTTGCCATTGCGCAGGGTCGCAGAGGCGAAGGCGGTTCGAGGAGGTCCGAGAATAATGTCTTCGGGGTCTGCAATTGAAATTTGGGTCAGTTGGGATTGCTCAAGGGGCGAGGAAAATGAGGAGACACCGAGGTGGAGACATACTGGCGCTGTTTCGCGAGACGTGGCGGTCAACGCCAGGGCGACGATTCGTCTGATCAAGCAAGGGATTATCGTGGCTTCTTCTGTCAGTAGTGGGTTTGGTGACGTTGGTCTGGGTTCGATTGTTATCGGGAGGTGGTCTGGAAGAAAGAGTTAGAAAAGAGGGAGTTTTGTCTGAGGGATATGGTGACGGCATACCCCATCCATTCTTCAGCGGGCGGTAAAGCAGATGGTTTGATGCATAGTGGTGATTCTCGCAGGTGAATGAGGACCTCTGCTGAATACTGGAGTGCCATAGCAGCAGGAAGATGCAAAGCGCATCCGAGGACAGGTAGGAAGGCTATTGGTGGTGTGGCGATGGTGATGTTTGCATGAACAGATGTCGATGATTCGGTCGACAGAAGGAAGGGAGGAGCTGTCGTCGGAGGCAGGTAGGTTGCTTCGCCAGTTGGAGAGGAGATAGATGCGGTGCTGTAGTACTAGTAGGTGGTGCGGTGTTTGGCGCCTAAGGTTGAGGTTGTGTTCGTCGATGCCGTTGTTGCGATGGTTCTTTGTACGTCACAGGGGTGAAGAGGGGGGTGGATTGTGGTGGTTATGGTGATGTCGAGGAAGGTCAAGTCGAGTCGGTCGGTCGGCGGTCGGTGCCGGTCGCAGTTGATGGTCCAGTCAGAATGGAAGATGGTGGGAGATGGGACAGACAGGACGGGAGTGTCTGTACGGAATACGGAGTATCCGTAGGACTGGCTCCGATCGGGCTGCACTACTGCGTACTGCGTCGAGGGCGCTGGCAGTGGTTGGGTAGCTTGATGCGACGAGGCTGGCAATCAGGGACAGGCAAGGCGAAGAGGGTATGATGGTTTGGTGTTTTGATGGTTCAGAGTGATGCAATATCTGATGCGGAGTGAGAGATTATTGTCATGGGCGAATTTCGGCAGCGAACTGTCAGGGCGTGTAAAGGTAAGGTAAGGTAGCTGGGTAGGTAGGTGGTACGAATAGAGACGGTGCAGGTGGTCAAAGGAGGTTTTGGCACTTGGGACGAAACCTGGTGGAGGAGGTGCTCGCTCAGGTGCTCAGGTGCCCAGGTCTACCTGCTTCCACTAGCAGCCAAGCACTCCACTCCCCACCTCACCACGCTGCTCGCCGTATACCTCACCTCAGTCTGTAGGTACTACGGAAGGTAGGTAAGGTAAGGTGACCAGCGCAGCGTCGGGGCAGCTGTGCCAGGTCACCGTCAAGTGTGTCCCTCCCGTCACCCTCCACCATTTCTACATTTCCACTCACCTCCCGTCCGAGGCTTCTGAGAAATGTACCTGTCGCCTGTCGGCTTTGTGATAAGGTAAGTACCTATTGATGTATCTACTCTGAAAAGGGAGGCAGGCACGTCAACTTGTCAAAGACCTCCAAGTTCCATCTCATGGAAGGAGCATTGGAGTCAGAAATCAGGTACGTATTCGTGCCTACCCTTGGCGCTTCACCTCTCTTACTTTCCCCTCCTTGCTGCGTGCGGCGTAGGCGTGCGGCGTGCCTGCTTCCCTTCCAGGTTCTCCTGGCCCCTGCCATCTCGAGGCAAAGAGGCAAATGCAACCAAACCCTCACCCCTGTACCTGGGCTCACCTTAGGTCAACCTATTTGTTCACCTTAGGTAACTCCCTCCACCGAGCCATACTATTACTGCGTAATAACTCGCTTAGAGGGTAACACCATTGGCCAAGGTATTGGACATAAACTCGACATCTCTTTATGGTGTCTATAGCAATAGAGACTCGAAGCTCTACTCGACCGACTCACATGTACAAAGGCATGTCCATGTTTCTCGGCTGCTTGTTCAAATGGTCTGCCTCCAAAGGCCCATGCTGTGGGATTCTCGACCTTAAAAAAGCCCGGACCAGGAGACTGTCCAAGTTGCAGGTACGTACCTCCTTCTCTCTGAGAGATGGGGGAAACAATCGCACACTTCCGCCCCACCATCTCCTTCCTAGAGCTTAACCGAGATCTGAATGCTGCTTACCTTAACATTCAGCGTTACATC